CCCACACGCATCTGACGAGGAGCATTGTACACATCCAATCCTGGTCCCTTAGTCCTTCCAGTCACGTCCATCAGTCGTAGAGGATGAATATCTTCATTCCTAAACTCAACACAAGACATCCAGGTGTAACAGAAAAAGAAAACGCCAAGCGACAGTTCCCAGAAAGGCATAAACAGAGCAACGAAGAAGATGCTCGGCCTCGCTTTTAAGAGAAATGCAAGATTCATTACGTCGAACTATCATTTTTCACCCGTCAGACCCGCAAGGGTGACAGTGTGACATGATCATGTGATAAAGGTGTGGGAGACCGGCTGACAGAGACATAACCAGGTTCAGCCTCACTGGGGACGATTCGGCATTACCTGCTTGGGGAACAAATGTGAAGCCCTTGGAACCAGCCCTTGTACGGGGAGGGATACGCGTTCACAGTCGCTGTGACCCTTGGGGTATAAGGAGAAACGCCACACAGCAGGGAGGAGAGAGTTCCCAGTGTTTGCTGTTTTGAACCTTTCACATTTTGTTCTAAGCAAATGTGTATGTCTTCAAAAAACACACACGCTGTTTTAAAATTCAGAAGAGCCTGAAGCCTAAGGGGAAAACTTTAAAAACAAAGGAAAATGGGTTCATTGATAAGGGTTTTTTTTCATCGTGATGATGACACAGATCCAGACATGGATGGTGTTGTTGGTTGCACGACCGTGTGAATGGAGCTGACACCACGGAACTGTCCACTTAAACGTGGTTCACGTGACCAGCCGGATGTTTCATCTATTTTACCACAATAAGAAAGTTAAGAATAAAGTAAAGCACATAAGACCGAGTCAGGAGGCCATATTCAAATACCCGTCAGAAATATTCTGCCGGGCTACTACACTCAGGGGCTTAGACCACGTGAATTTCCTAAAATAGTTGTGATTGAGCCCCGGCAGGTTTGGCTCAGCAGTTAGAGCGTCAGACTGGGAACCAAAGGCGCGGGGTCAATTCCGGTCAAGGGCACGTACCTCGGTTGCAGTTCCATCCCTGGCCTGGTTGGGGTCATGCGGGAGGCAACCAGTCAATGTGCCTCTCTCACATTGATGTTTCTCTCTCTCTCTACCTCCCTTCCACTCTATCTGAAAAATCAATGAAAAAAATGTCCTTGGGTGAGTATTAAAAATAAAAAATTTTTAGTAAAATAATCGTGATTGGATATAATGTTTTCTTTTATAATTTTTTTAAAAATTTGCTTTTATTGATTTTATTTTTAGAGAGAGAAATAGAAACATCAATTAGCCCAAAACCTGGGCATGTGCCTTGACTGGGAATCGAACCGGGACCTCAGTCCATAGGGTGACACTGGATCCAGAGCTGCACCGGCTGGGCTGATCTTTCTTTTTTTTTTTAATCCTCACCCGAGGACATTTTTCCATTTTTTGTTCAGGTAGAGTGGGAGGGAGAGAGAGGAACAGAGAGAGAGAGAGAAACATCGATGCGAAAGGAACACATCGAGTGGCTGCCACCCACACAACCGACCAGGGCCGGGGACAAACTGCAACCGAGGTACGCGCCCCTAGCGGGAACCGAACCCGGGTCTCTCCGGACCGCAGGCCAACGCTCTAACCGCTGAGCCAAACCGGCCAGGGCTGATGTTATCTTTCTTAATAAAGGAAATGTATTCATCGTAAAACCACGTTGCAAGTTAACTCTGTTGACTTTGTGAATTTATGTGAAAACACGATGCAGGGGGGGAAATCCTTTGCCCTACTACATGGATTTGATTTTTCCCTGGAAAAATGAGATCTCCGTAATGATTGCATTCAGAATAAAATGGCTCATTCCAAACCATAAAGTGCACTCAAATTCTACTCTGAAGTCCCAGAAAACCGGCCTAGGCTACTCAAAATTGTGAATTTTGTCCACAAACTTCATCGCCAACAGAATGGTTAAAAATAGAGTGGATGGCCCTGGCCGGTTTGGCTCAGCGGTTAGAGCGTCCACCTGCGGTCCAGAGAGACCCGGGTTTGGTTCCCGCTAAGGGCATGTACCTCGGTTGCAGTTTGTCCCCGGCCCTGGTTGGTCGTGCGGGTGGCAGCCACTCGATGTGTCCCTTTCACATCGATGTTTCCCTCTCTCTCCCTCCCACTCTGTCTGTACAAAAAATGGAAAAATGTCCTCGGATGAGGATTAAAAAAAAAAAAATAAGAGTGGATGGATGCACAGACCATGGAAAACACTAACATATGCACTGTATTTTGTTGCGAGATGTTTTCAAGAGTGCTGGGAAGGCCATCAGCATCGATCATGGTCAAGAGAATTATTCTCCACCGTTCAGAGATGAGTTGAACACAGAAACAGCTATTTGCCTTGTGTGTTCATTTCTAGAAAGAGATGAAGAAACTGGTCTTGACTGAACTGAACCCACAAGACAATGAAAGGACAGTTTCTCTTTCCACACATGTGCTCGCACATGCACACACAGGTTCCCCACTGGTCAAGAATAAGCTCAAGTGACCCCCACAGCTGAATTCTAACTCCCTTCTAATTCACACCTCTCCGTTACCATCAATTTCAATTCATACCCTTATTTTCCACTCCAATCGAATTATAACTCTCTGTATTTACCTCTGTCTCCCGACTACACTGAGCTGCTCAAAGGCAGGAACTTTCTTTCCCAGTGCCTGGCCCCTAGTGGGGATTTAATCTTTGCTGAAAGGAAGAGACTCTGAACCCTAAATTCTTTCCAGCCCAGTGTAAGGGTGGTCTTACCACATACAGATGACAAGTCAGTAACAAAGACAATTCTTTTGTCTATAAACTGCCCAGGTTTTGCAGTATTGTATTACTCTTATAACCCTTATTGTAATAGCTATATATTAAATGTCTGACCTCAAAATGATATGAAGGCCGGCCGGTGTGGCTCAATTGGTGGAGTGTCATCCCAAAGACCAAGAGGTTGCCAGTTCGAGTCTGGGTCAGGGCACGTGCCCAGGTTGCGGGCTCGATCCCCAGTGGGGGGCGTGCAAGAAACATCTCATTGTTGTTTCTATTTCTCTCTCCCTCTTCCTTCCTCTCTCTCTAAAATCAATTTAAAAAATACATATTTAAAAAAATAACTATATCAACTCACTGGTAACAGGTGCTACTGATAAAATAGAAAATCTGTTTTGAGCTCATGACCATTTTTGCAAATTCAATGTTTGGAATTCCAGCTAGTTCCAGGGGGGGGGAATCATTTTCAATGAAAGCACTCACTCGAGGTCACAGTCCCTTCTCACTGCACCCCACAGCGAATGAGTCGATGCAAAACATACATGTAATGTGATCCAATAATAAGTAGGCGCTTTCGCCCTGGCCGGTTTGGCTCAGCGGTTAGAGCGTCGGCCTGCGGTCCGGAGAGACCCGGGTTCGGTTCCCGCTAAGGGCACGTACTTCGGTTGCAGTTTGTCCCCGGCCCTGGTTGGTTGTGCAGGTGGCAGCCACTCGATGTGTCCCTTCACGTCGATGTTTCTCTCTCTCTCCCTTCCTCTCTCTCTCCCTCCCACTCTATCTGTACAAAAAAAAAAATGGAAAATATCCTCGGGTGAGGATAAAAAAAAAAATAATAATAATAATAATAAGTAGGTGCTTTCTTCAGAAGCTTTTCATCTACGAGACGACCAAGTTGAATAAGCCCTGAGCTTTCTGTCCACAATTGATTTGTCACGGGGATTCTTTGTCTTCGACCCATACATTTTCTTGGGGATTTTCCTATGAGTAGGAACTACAGAAAGAGCAGGTTCTGCCCTCTGACGTACAACCCAGGATTTCAGGATGATGGGGAACAGGCATCTCCAGGTCAACAATGTATATACAGCACCTCTTCTGAAACCCCAGAGAATCAACACCACCATATCATGATGTGAAAACCCAGCAGACATCGCCCACCTGTGGAAAGTTGTTCCCCCGTGAGACACACCTTCAGCCCCCTTGAGAACCCTGATCCCATTGGGAATAGTCTAATTCCCGTCTTTCCTGCTTTGACCTAAGTACAACTGACTGCCTTCTATCTGGCACAAGTGCCCCTAAGAACATCACTACCACAATGACGGCCACCCCGGTCACTGCTTTTCCCCGATGCCCAGCACAGGCGCAGTGCCCAGCATTTCGAAGGTGCTCCATCTTCTCTGAATGGATCGGTGATGGTCTAGACAACTAAATTGGCTGCATCTGATTAGATGTATTAAGTTACTCAGCTGAGACTGAGAGGCATGCAATAGGGTTTCACGGTGTAAATGATACCCCGAGACTCTCAATGGAAAACCGATCGCTACCTGTTTTAGTGACGATTTCTTTCTGCCGATGTGAATGCAGTGCTGTCAGAAGCAGCAAACGACCGTGTTTGGATGTGGGCTGAACCTACTCTAAAGGGAAGAGCTGACGGCCGATAGAGCGTAATCCACTCCTCCTACAAGCCTCCCTTGTATCTTTACTGCGCATCCCAATACTACTGACATTCAGTGCTGTGTGTGACCATGTCCTGTATGGTTTTTTTTACATACTTTTTATTCATTACTTACTCATAAGTTCTTCCAAAAAGAATTCCCCTTCTGGTCCGCTGGTGTGGCTCAGTGGTTGAGCATCAACCCTGCCCCAAGAGGTCACCGGTTCGATTCCCAGGCAGGGCACATGCCCAGGGTGTGAGCCAAATCCCTAGTGGGGGTCACGCAGGAGGTGGCCAGTCAATGTTCTCTCGCATCGATGTTGCCATCTCTCTCTCCTCACGTCCTCTCTCTCTCTAAAATCAATAAAGAAAAAAAAAATTTTTTAAAAAAGAAAAGAATTCCCCTTCTGCCTCCCTGAGCCATTCCCAGAGGAGGCACTCAATAAGTCCAGAGGAGCCGACTCGTTCGTTCTGTACTCCGACTCTCCGCCTAGCTAGAGCCGCGGTCGGCACGTTGCCAGTGTACCAGGCTGAGTGAGACCTACAATCCCAGTGTTTCCTGGACATGTCTGACGAAGTAAATGACAATGCCATAATATAAGAAAATGGTTTTATTCCTAATTTTTAGTTCCCATATAGTTTACAAATACACTTTGTATTCTGATAATACGGCTTCGCAACTAGCAAAGCAGTTGAACTAACACCCATAAATACAGGTGGGGAGACAATTAACATCCACTAATGTTTCTCTACATAAACTATTCATTTAATGTCACTTTTTAAAAACAACTGCAAATAGACTACATAATGTACGTGGGCAAAAAAAGGCAATTAAGTGAATCTCTTGAAAACACTAAATGTATAATAAACAGTGCATATTATCAACATTTACATGATTCACATCAAAATGATGACATCCTAAAATGTATTCCTTTTAAAGGATAGATTTATCAATAAAATATTACATATCTTTTAATACTCTGATACAATGCTTCATATACTGCAGGAAAATTAAATGTACGTCTAGTCATCAGCTTAATAAAGGATCCTTTTCCATTAGCTTTTATTAATAAAAGAATCACAATTAGGTCATAAATAAAACAGACGAATTATTAATTACATGATTTGAGGTTTAGGATGAAAACTTGGAAAAATCAGTTTGATATACAGCAACGTTATACACCACACTAAAACCAAGTGTTTAATATGTTTGCCTTGTGTGAACTGCCCGGTGGAAAAAAAGAACGCACGTTTTAATAACAGAAGATACAATAAACTATATATTGGAACTTATTTTTCCAGAGGAAGAGGAGGTAAAAGATTTCAACAAAATGGAGAACTAATACAGATCCTAAGAAAGTATCGTGGAGTCAGGGAGGCCGTGTGCTTGCTATATAAAACATCATTCCCCCAACATCATCCGGAAAACCGCACCTTATGGGTTTGGATTTATGTCTACAGTCTAAGTTCTCCTCGTGGATTAATGAGCTACAACAAAGCACTTCACAACTGCATACCTTTCCACATTCCCCTGAACTAGCAATAACCCAAGACCTTACCTTATTCTTAAAATCCCCAGTAAAAAAAAAAAAAAACCTAAAAACAATGCTGATGATTTTCTTGGCTTTTCCAAAGCAACTGGGCTACTTCGAGAATGCAAAACACCAAGTCATACATCTGTTTTCTCAACCCCATTTAACCACATTTGAAAAGTCATGGATTTCAATGGACTAGATGACCATAATTTTCAGGAGGGCCACACACCGGATATGAAGTGTCTTTTTTAATATATATATATAAAAGTTATTAAAACTGAAATTTGGCGTTTTTAAAAAACCCATGCCATATAATTTCTTCACCCCAAATATAAAACCCTAGGCATATAATTTTAAAATACTCAACCAGCTATGGGATATTGTGCAAACTTTAGATCTACCAGTAACCTAGGAGCCAACCGTGTACAGGTAACTACCACACCGATTTCCCGGGCAATCTGATCCAACTATCACTGACAGCTCTGGCCCTGGGCCCTTTGACTTCCTCCAAAACCACCTTTTTGGAACTTCCATTTCCACTATTTTTTGAACCCGCACCTCGAGCTCCCCCCATCTTCACCTGCCTGATTCCACCCCGAAGAGTGAAATCTCATCTTGAGAACCTGCAATCCCCTTTTATCAAACACACAACAAACCTTAGCAACCTAGGGACAATCATAATCTTATCTTGGCTTAAACTGACCTAACATGATAGCTGACTGACTTCGTGGAGGGAAATCTAAATGAAATCAATGTCCTGTAACGCTGAGAGCTAGCCAAGATCCGGTGTTTCCTGTTCCGAGCGCAAAAACAACCGATCCGAAGCTCCAGGCAGAGACTTAATGCAGCGGGTTTATTTATACAGTCAGACCCTTGTATGCTGGTGAAAGACTTTGCCCCCAAAGTCCAAAGTCAAGACATTTCCATGAAATCGAGGCAAAAAGGAGAACCATTCAATAAGTGATAGAAAGAACAGGATTCCAGATCCTTGTTGCAGACACTGAACTTGAATCTCTTTACAGGCTTGACAAGGAGATAGTAGTCATTTACGTTCCTCTTACACGGTAATCACCTTCAGACCACACCTGTGCTCTGAAGCAATGCTAAGTTCAATGGACTGGGGAGGGGGGTTGTGTGGGGGGAACACTATACACTTTGTGAAAATGGCAGCCATCACTCGCCCCAAAGGATCAGGGTCAAGGGAGGTAAAGACATCAGAAGGGAACTGCTACCAGGGCTGGATCTAGCCCTTCCTCTCTGGAGCAAAAGCAAGGGGATTCCAGACAGGAGACCATGCCTGAATGGCCACGCTGCCGGAGCGCTTATCACCTTCACAAGGTCAACCCATGAGACTAACTGAAACACTCACCGGACGAGCCAACACACGGGGCGACGAGGGGCGTTTTCTGGAGAAGGCACTTCAGGTAGCACTTGAGCAAATCTTACTGCTGATTCAATCCAATGAGCAGCCCGTTAGGACCACACGCATGCGTGGAGGCCCGAGTGGAACCGGTGCGTGAAGAAAGCACCCACTCGCCTCCCTCTGTGGGGGCCGTGGTGATGGGGTTGGTGCTTTCAAATGCTCTGTCCCCCTAGACACGTCTGTCCTCTCGAGACCAGTTTTCCTAAGCGATGGTTCAGAAAGATGCTGAGCTCGCAGAACTGGGGCCGGGCGCTTCTGCAAGGCCCTTTCCCAGCCCGACCCCCAGCGTCCACCCGCCATCACAGACGGCTTCAGCTCCCCAAGGTCAGCCACTGCAGCCTCTATTTCTGCTAACAATAGCTTTCTCCTTGGCACTGGTTCTGACGGTCTGTTACCCTGGGGACCCCCAGTGAACCACACCTCCACTTCTTGTCCCGGTGTAGTCCCCTCTTCCTGAATCTCGGTTGGGCCTATGACTTGCTCGAATCAGCAGGGAGCAGAAGTGACGCTGTGACAGTTCTGGGTGTAAGTCGTAAGAAGGCCTGGCCACTACTGCCTTATACTCTTGGGAGCTCTGAGCTGCCATGTAAGAGGCCCAGTGACCTGCTGGCGAGGCCACGTGGCAAGATCACAGAGAGAAGCAGAGACCCGAGGATCATGTGCAGAGAGAGGGCTCGGCCACCCAGTGTGTCAGCCAGCCTGCCAACCAGCAGGTGACACCAGCATGAGCAGAACAGCTCGGCTGGGCCCAGTGCGGACTGAAGAACAGTGAGGAACAAATAATCACCTTAAGCCGCCATGTTTTGGGGTGATTTGTCAGCAACAACTGAAAACCAAAACACTGGATGTCCACAGGCGCATTTTTCCCAAATACAAGACAATACTCAAATGACAATACGGCAAACATTTCCCCACCACAGCAGGCTGAATGGTCACTGGTCATCCGCTAAGAAAAAAGCATGCCTTTTTATCCTAAATTCCCATGATTTTTCCCCCATGATTTTTTAGTGGCAATGCAAAGGAAGAGTCAACTTCTGACAGTCTGGGGCACTGGCCTAATTATCATTTAGCCAAAGAAAGAAGCCATCAAAATGGATTACCCCCTACTGGATAAATGATAATAAACTAAACTGTTCTCACTACTACAGGATATTGTCACTTAATTTTCCCCAGTTTTCCTCTAACAAGTGTCCTATCACTCCCCACAAAGAGAGGAAAGAACTAAATTGGTTAAGGTTATAAAAAGAAAGAAAAAGGCCAATAACTAGGATTCAAATCACCACTATCTGCAAAGTATAGAGCACAATTTAACGGAGTCCTCGATTTAAAATAAAACTCTATAAAATATAACACTGTCTACATTGTAGAGATGATTTCTTGTCTGAGGAAATGAGTAATTGGAAATAGGGTGCTGTTGAGTTAGAATACAGTGGTCTTCAAATGGTTTCAGATTCTGCTCATCAAAAGGGAGTCGACCACAACACAAGCCTTCGAGGTTCAAGTTCATTCTTCACATAAACTTTCTTGCACCTGTTCTTGATCTTTTCATGGGAACAGGTGAAGTCCACATCTGGGGAAGAAATAATTGAGAATTTTGAAGGAGCACATTTCTAAAAGTCTGGCAAGGCATTAAACTACTTAAAACGCAGATTTAAAGCTTTTAAATATACTACTCATTGAAATGAGAATTTTAACATAAAATACTGAAATTATGAGTTTCTAACTTATCATTAGAACATACATCACAGCCCTGGCCGGTTTGGCTCAGTGGTTAGAGTGTTGGCCTGCAGTCCAGAGAGATCCGGGTTCGGTTCCCGCTAAGGGCACGTACCTCAGTTGCAGTTTGTCCCTGGCCCTGGTTGGGTTGTGCAGGTGGCAACTACTCGATGTGTCCCTTTCACGTCGATGTTTCTCTCTCTCTCTTCCTCTCTCTCCCTCCCACTCTATCTGAACAAAAAATGGAAAAATGTACTTGGGTGAGGATAAAAAAATAGAGAGAGAGAGATCACTGTCTAAAACGGTGCTGACCGGCAGAAGATGGACAAGGGAGATGAATTTCCAGCACCAGAGCTGAAGGGACATGGAGTGGAGCCAGTCGGAGGCCCCAGCCGTCCAGCGCCCTATGTCACCCAGCCAGAGGCCAGCTGGGATGAGAACTGAAGCATCCGGACTCCAACCATCCACGCTGCATGTTTCCCAGATCCCTACAGATCATCCTTGGATGAACCGACTCGAATACAAATTGCCGGAACGATCATATCTGGCGCCCATCACCAATAGCAACCATTTCTCTACAGTAAGTGCTAACCCTGCCCTTCACAGCATTCATTCTGCATTTGGTTTTAATGCTTAATGAAATCTAAAATAAATCCAGCTTGGGAAAAAGGAGACTGACTTGTATAACCCGACTGTGATACATGCTGCTGGAACAAATTATCCGCCTGCTTCAAAGTGCTCCAAAGGCTATCAACAATGAACCGATACAGCCCTTCTGTTAAATACCTGTCTGTGCTGAAGTCTCAGCGGGTCTTCTCATCTGAAGCTTTTCTGCTGCTGCAGCAGACCCACGTTTTCATAGACTCGAGCATTGTCTTCTCTCATCCTGAAAAGAAAGCCAGAGACGTTGGCAGAGATGCGGCCGTGCTGTTTCAGCTTACGTGACACTGGTGAGGCACACAGCACCTTCTCTGGGGACCGGCTATGGTGCAGGCATGGTCCTGCCCCCAGGAGCCGGATTCCGGACAGGATCAGACACACACATACAGCAGTGTCATCGTGCAGTTCAAGGGAACCGCGAGCCTCGAGCCCCTCTGCTCTCAGGGGTCTGGAGGCCAAAGTGAGCTGTTTTCCAGGCGGGCAGAGCAAGGAAGGCCCGCACAGCGAGGCCTCAGCCGGGCCTTGAAAGAGGGTGGGACGTGCTCACACAGAAGGAATGCTTCTCGTCTCAAGCACGACAGGAGTGGGCAAGAGTCCCGAGACGGGGACGTGGAAGAGCAGTCAGACCCCAAACTGGCTATGTTCAGGGGAACACCGAACATGAAGCTCGGTCGGGGGTGCAGGGCCCTGGGACGGACGCCCATGCGTCAGAACCCAGGCTCTGTCTGCTGAGCCGGGAAGGAGAGCAGAGCAGGCCATCAGGACACAGAGCCCAGCAGCTCTGGACACCAGCCCAAGGGGCAAGACAAAACAAGCAGAAGGGCTCAGGGCCCAGGGTGTCCTGGGTCTGTGCCCCACAAGGGAATGATGGGAACAGGGGGACAGAGAGGCCGTTAGTCACAGGCAGGCACTGGTGACGAGGGAGTCGTCAGAGACGAGTCTACAGGGCTGACACGGGGGAAAGTCTCTGGCACGGGCTCAGAGTCCTGACGTGCTGGTTCCACAGAGGATTACTGCAGATGGCGCTTGAAGATACCCGCGCTCCCTGTCGGCCCGCCGGGAAGGGCACAGGCAGGCAGAGGGTGAGGCAGCATGGGGACAGCATACTTTTGCTGTGCAATTTCATTTCCATGTTAAATAGAAAGCAAATATAAATACAAGCCTCACCTATGTGATCTAAACTGTTTATAGAGGGTACTAAAGTCAGCATAAATTTCAAAATTCACATCAGAAGCACAGAGAGAGACAACTCTTGGGTGGTGAGGGGGAGCAAATGTTATACCAGAGAATGAGTAGAGTATACAGAAAATAACTTAACAACTGCCATTCACATAATCAATGCAACCCATGTTTTCCTAACACGTTTTAGTTCAAACAAGGAGTCGGCAAAGTTTTTCTATAAAGAACCACAGGGTAAATAATTTAGTCTCTGCAAACCATACAGAGTCTGTCATGTATTATTCTTGGGGTGTGTGTGTGTGTGTGGTTTGATAGCCCTCTAAAAACCATTCTCCAGCTGTATATAAATAGCCCATGGCCAGGATTTGGCCTGGGGCTGTAGTTTGCTGACTCCTGGTTAAACCCTGAAGTAGATATCTGTTGAGTGTGGACTGTGTTAACACATTCGTGGTCAATGTACTCACTTTCACTTAGCAAACAATCTTAATACATCAAAAGGGGATCCACCTCTGCAGCAAATCCCATGCCATGGAAAGAAAAATTAGATTCTTCTTAGAGATCCCCAACTGATGATCCTTCTGACGCCATATACTCCAGGCTGGTGCAGCAATCAGCCTGCAGTGTAGGTAGGTTAACACTTAGCCACTGGTACACTCCCGAACTGGTCGGCCAACAGCTCCACGAACGGTGTGTGCTACAAAGACGGGCAGTGCTTGAAGCGTTGCTCTAGAACTAGGTTCAGGTGAAAAGAATTTCCTTCATTACTACTTACTCTGCACAGGACGGTGTTGGGGTACAAGGCGGGAGGGGGCTCTGGTCTCCACTCGTCTGGTCCGTGAGGGAATACTTAATATTTGTGTACTCGTGACCTTTCCTCTTGCTTTTCTGAAAGGGGAAGATTGCACATGTGAGGACACGTGCCTTTCTGAAGGGGATACAAAGGCCAAAAATGCATTTCAGAGAGAGAAGCAGTTGGACTCTGAATACTAAAACATGGACCAACTCTTATGGAACCCACCTCCTCAACATCAATGCACCACATGGCTGAAAAGCACTTGGAACTAGACAATCAAGGGCACAGCCACACACTGACAACTTGCGGGAGTGAACCAAGTGGACCTGTTTCCGAGCTGAGAGGCGGTGCACTGTCTCTGCCACATCAGCGTCCAATCATTTCACAGGTCACTGGCACCACGTGTCATGATTTTCGGGTAAACAGTTGGGGAAAGAGTTCCCCAACAGATTCGCGCCATCCACGTGAAAATGGCACACAGGCAAAGAAGGCGGTGCTCTTACCAGAAATAATACACTCTGTCGTGTCTTCCCCGACACCCCACCCCGAAAGAGACCCTAACACCTTTAAAACTTTATTTTTGGCTCCAGCTACTCTGGGGGGTGGGGGAGTGGCGAAGAAAACCAGTAGAATGTACTTCGTCTCCACCGCAGAGACATTTGGTAGGAGTCTAGTTAGAATTCGCCTAGGGAGCTGAGGGCGATGTGAATGAATAATAAATTGTGTTAGAACGTTAACAGTCAGGAAAGCTGTGCGAAGGGAATTCCGCATACAATTTAAAACTTTAATACTGTAAATGGAAGTTAACAAAGAACTCTACTTCGAAACGGCAGACAGAGCGTGAGAAGAACCGCTTATTGAAAACTCGAGAATGCTCTCAATCTTGCTTCGTTTGCATGCCCCCTGGATTCCCACCTCGGCTGCGGCCTCCCTCCCGGCTGTCTCTTTCTCCACTTCCTCCGCCGCTCCCCGCCGCTCCCCACCGGGGCTCGCTCTCCTTCTCTCGTCTAGCCCTCTTCAGCAAACTCTTTCGCTGCCAAGGTTTCCTAAAGCTTCATGATTTTGGAAATGCCTGCATTTCAATGTAATCAATTATCCTAGGTGAGTTTTGTTCTTTTGTTTAATTTAAAAGTCTGATGGGTTTAATGTTTTTAAGTCTGCCTTTAACCTTGTGCTAACGGAAAGTACTTCTTACTTTACCATGAAATCAGGCAGAAAGTTCCTACAATGAACCAAACAATATAATGCAAAAAACTACATATTACAGGATCCCATTATTTTAAATAAATGATCTAAGCCGAAACATGTTTTTAAAATATAAGCCATAAACTAGTTACTGGCTCAGCACAGCCAGCATGTATGGACCAGAAAGGCACTGGCTAAATGAACAAATCAATGAATCAACACATCCAAGCTCTCTTGGGGTGGGATTATCGGGGACATTCAGTTTCTATATTCTATGTTCCATAATACTTACATTATTACAGAACATGTTGTGCTTCTGTGTATTTCTCCCCCCCCCCAAAAAAAAAGGATGACAGATTTTTGTTTAGTTCATAAATCTAAATTATAACCTCAGATTTAGGGTCAGAGGGACCATATTTGGGCATTAGATGATCTGAAGGGTTATGAAAGCTGGGAAGGCAAGCCCCGAAATTCTCCAAAACAAGGGAAAAAACAAAGTGTCTGAATGAAATAGAGCTCTCCCCCAAGACTACACTGTGTGCTTCAAAACGTTTCCAGTTTCCAGTCTGCACCCAGTGCTGCACTGTGTTTACTGGAGTCCTTCTCTTGGGGCGACTTTACACTTTAACTCTTCCTGGCCCAAATAAAGTATAACTGAAAGATGCATATACAATAACCTACAGTACCCATCTAAATGTTTCTTTTTTTTTTTTTTCCTTTATTGATTTTTAGAGAGAGAGGAAGGGAGAGGGTGTGAGAGAGAGAAACATCAATGAGAGAGAACATCGAGTGGCTGCCTCCTGCATGCCCCCCACTAGGGATCGGGCCCACAACCTGGGCATGTGCCCTGACTGGGAATCAAACCCACAACCTCTTGGTGCGTGGGTCGACGCTCAACCACTGAGCCACACCGGCCGGGCACCATCCAAATGTTTCATAGTACTTACAATAACAGATTCAAAGCACAGAAATTCAAAACCAGTAGCTTGTTAATTATTTGACCTTCCATTTCTATACATACACTGTTTCTGAAGATGTTTTTCTACAATAAAACAACCTAGGGAGTATTCTGGTATGAACTGAGAACCTACCAAACTAATTAACTACCTCTGGCTGACCCAGCTTTGTTCTCCTAGGCTAGAAATGGTTCAGTAAGGTGGCAGGTCCCATTTCGAAAAGAGCTTAGTTCCCATTTTGAGCATAGCAACAGGGCTGGGGTGGGGGAGGGGAGGGAGCCAAGCACAGCTCCCCAAAAAAGCAGTCTCCTCATTTCCCTCGTCTCAGCGTATTCTTAATTAACTCGGCTTTGTGTCTGTCATGAATAGCCTCAGATGGAAAGGCGCCAGCGCCACAGTCTTCATTATGCATGCTTATTAAAACTGAAATTTCACCGTTTCCAACTCGACCAAATTGGTGGTTCAAACCACCGTCTGCTATTAAGAGTAAAGCATTTGTTTAAGAGATGGACTCAGGATAAATATGGCCTGGATTAAACTGGAACGAGCTGGAAACTTCAAGGCGTTGCGTTCTAAGCGTGCCGTGTGAGCCTGGGAAACCTCCCCTTCCCGTGTGGCTCTTCCCCAAGCTGCAGGCCGGGGGCAGCACGGTGCCCTCCCTAAGCTCCTCACCCTTCCTGGTCGGGGACTTTATTCCCAAATAAGGACAGTCGCCTATCAGAGCCTGTCCTGATCAACAGGAGAGCATTTGCCAAGTGCCCGGGACAGGAAATGGAAAGCCACACGCCGGCCGGTCCAGGCTGAGTACCTGCTCTTCTTCAATCCTGCGCTGTAGTGTTTCGATATAATGCTGAACAGCCATGTAGATGAACCGGTACTGGGCCTCTGTCTGGACCATCCCTGATCTCTGAGATCGCACCATCTGAATCGTTTTGGGAACATCAATGTCGCAGTCGACGCCTACAAAGCAAGCACACGAAGCGTCAAGAGAAAAGGCAATAGAGTACTCATACAACTCAACAAAGGGAAGACAAAGAACCCAATTAATAAATGGGCAGAGGAGCTGAATAGACACCTCTCTAAACAGGACATACAAATGGCCAAGAGACATATGAAGAAATGCTCAACATCACTAGTCATCAGAGAGATGCAAATTAAAACAACAATGAGGTATCACCTCACACCTGTCAGAATGGCTGCCATCAACAAATCATCAAACAAGTGCTGGCGAGGGTGTGGAGAAAAGGGGACTCTAGTACACTGCTGGTGGGAATGCAGACTGGTGCAGCCACTATGGAAAACAATATGGTGTTACCTCAAAAAAATTAAAAATTGAACTTCCATTTGACCCAGTGATCCCACTTCTAGGAATATACCCTAAGAAGCCTGAAACACCAACCAGAAATAATATATGTACCCCCATGTTCATAGCAGCACTATCTACAATAGCTGAGATCTGGAAACAGCCCAAGTGTCCATCAGTAGACAAATGGATAAAAAAGCTGTGGTACATATACACAATGGAGTACTATGCAGCTGTAAGAAAGAAAGCTCTCTTATCCTCTGAGACAACATGGAGGGACCTGGAAAGTATTATCCTAAGCAAAACAAGCCAAGCAGAAAAAGACAAATACCACATGATCTCACTTATAATGAACATAACAGTCTGAGGAATAGGGTAGACCCAGAGACGTGGAAGTAGGGTACATACTGACAACTCTCAGAAGAGGAGGTGGTGGGGGAGGGAAGAGATAAACCACAGAACTTTTAGGCATGTACGCATAACCGATGGACATGGACAACAAAGCCGGGGACGGGGTGGGGGGGATGGGGAGGAGGGTGTCAATGGGGTAAAAAAGGAGAAACATCTGTAACCAAAATAAAATTAAAACTAAGCTCCCTCACATTCAAGAAAAAAAAAAAAGAGAGAAAAGGCAGAGCCAGGGTCAAGAGGTTTATGTACATTTAGCGGGCTCAGCCATAAACAATTTAGTGTTTGATGTTCTGACCAAACATGTTCCAAGGGCTACAGCACTGGCCTTCTCTGATCAATACCAGTGATCCCAGACGATTACATGATAAAGCGTCGGAGGAAGGGTTCCCCCACTCTCCAGCACCCTGTCAGCAAGGAATGGTGGCTGGGTAGGGACCACCACTGCACTCTCAGCAAAAGGCCACAGCAGTGGGATCCACAGGTCCTGGGCTTCATTTTATGCCAAAAGCTCAAACAGCATCACTTCTGTTCTCTGGTAAATATATTGAAAATTGGTCCTCAGCCCAGATTTTTGTGAAAATTTTTAACATTCAAATTTTCTTCCCCAGGCTGTTTTCACTAGCACTTGCTGTCCATAAACTAAAAAGAGGAACTGTAGCTTCTTGCCCTCCAGATGACCTACCTTTCTCTCTGATGATGTCAATAAGGATATCAATCACAATGAAAGTCCCTGTCCGGCCAATTCCAGCACTGTGGGCAGAAGGACAAAAAGCAATGACAATGAAGTCATTCATGGGGGTTTGATACTCAAAACCAAGCTATTAATATTAACAGAACCAATATATGCTCTTGGGAGTATTTATAAGACTGTCTATTTATATTGGAAAATATATTTGCTAAGAGCACAGGGCTCTGGAGTCCGTCCAACCTGCACTGGGAGCCCAGCTTCTCCAGCACAGTGTGCCTGGGGCAAAGGCTCTTAACCTCCCTGATCCTTAGTTTTCTCATCTGTGAAAAAGGGATAAAAGTACACACCACATAGGGTTGTTGTGAGCTCAATAAGCGGTCTCTTTTAAAAAACTCAGTAAAGTTTCACACACATCTACTTGCTCAACACATGAATGAGACTTAGGAAACCAAGCTTTCCCCAGTATAATTCTGAAACCCAAACTTGGCCACCAGCCCCCTGCAAATTGGGGGGCGAAGGCCACAGAACCAGCTTCCAGAGGCCAAGGTGGGCAGCTGTCCTAATCTTTTGAAGCAAACAAGTGTATTGTTGGGGAAAAAAATAGATCTCATTTCTGGAAGAGAATAGCATCACAATAAAAGAGATGAACTCTAAATTACTCTATTAAAAAAGAAAACCAGGCAAACGTTACCAGATTAGGGGTTCCTTAGGAATAAGGACTGGTGTTCCCCACCCCGTCCTGCCACCCCCAGTACCCAGCAGTCCTGTAGCAGCTACGAGAATATACTTTGGGGTCAAAGTGTCCCTTAATGCAGTTTATGCATGCCTCAGAGATTAAATTTTTCCCACAGTTAGAGAGCTGGGGTGGGTAGGTAACAAGAGGCCCTGGGCATCAGGAGATGGGACAGGCTGTGGACTGGGGGGTGGGGGGGCTGGTCACCTGCAGTGAACCACCACTGGCCCCGCATCCATGATGTTCTCCTGCTTATGGTGCACCTCCTCCAGGAAGTCCAGCACGCCCCCAGGGTCACTGGGCACTCCGTGGTCCGGCCAGGTCCGAAAGTGGTATTGCCAGACCGTTCTCTCCGTATTCCCCTGGAGTAGAGCCAAGAAAAACCAGAAAAGAATTAAATAAATCAAGGGACTGAGGCACTGCCTGGTTTCGATCTTCGGAGATCCTACGTGATCAAAGGAGCTGGCTGGCGCAGAAGCCCCTCCCACTCCATTTAAAGGGACTTTTCGGTTTCCCCGCTATCTCCTCCTTGGGGTCTGGTTGAGCAGTCCTGGAGGCAACTCTTTGCCTCTGCCATGGAACCCAGATGTCTGGTGTGGCAAACTGTCCTCCAGGAAACTCCCATCGAATCAGCCCTCTCAATTATCAGCAGCGGGCACCGTCCCCAACCCTCTTCATCCATGTGCAGCTCAACCCAGGAGGCAACTGAGGCTTCTGGGACCTGGGGCTCTGCTCCCACCAAATCAGAAAACAGGTAATTCCCTCAAGTCACGCGTTCCTCTTTGTCCTTTTGTACCCAGACCTCCTCCCCTCCCCTAGCCACACAGTTTTATTATAATAGCATGATGTTTGAAATTCCTGTTGAGTAGAGTAGGTAAGAAGCCAGGCTTTGCAATCAGATGGCTGGATTTAGGCCCAAATCCCAGCATGCACACTACTGCAGCGCCTGGACATCTCTGGGCCTCAATCGCTTCCTTTGCAAATAGGAATAATAATCTTTCTCACACAATACCACGGTGAGAATTAAACACACAGCCACTGCTCTGCAGATGGGAGGAGACTCAGCACACGGGCCACTCTGAGGACAGTGATCAATAATAAAGGCCAACCATGATCTCAAGACTGCAAAGACCCAAAAGCATCACATGCAGGGTCCACCTGCTCAGGTCAGGTTACTGAGCAGCACTATTCTTCGTTACATCTTCTTCCTATATATCTGGAGACGATCCAAGCTAAGTGACAATTTAAAGGGGGACTTTAAAACAAGGACAGTAACTAGACCAGTGTCCACAACCACTGACCTTTAGGACAGCTGAGGAATCTGAACCACAATTAAGATCTTTGCTTGAATTATGTGCATTTAATTTGCTGACATCACAAAAAAAAAATTTTCTGGATTATTGGTGAGTTAAAACTCAAGGGGCAACAGTCACAGGAAGGACAGTCGGGAAATGACAGAGACCCAGCCCACTGCCCATCCATGCTCCTTCGTCACTGAGGTCTCTGACCCAACTCCTTCTTCCCAGGCAATTAGAAGGTTTAAATGAGATCATGTAATGTGTTCTAGAAAGGCAGAAAATATGTGACCAGCAATTCTGGAGCAATGACGGGTCCCGTGTCACCTGCAGCAGGTGCAATCCAGTAACCCAAACGCCAACATGCCCCATACCTGCTACTCGAAAACCTCTCATAACAAGAAGGTGGAGCCCTGGCCAGTTTTGCTCAGTGGTTAGAGCGTCAGCCCGCAGACCAATGAGTCACGGGTTTGAATCCAGCCAAAGGCACGTACCTCAGTGGCAGTTTGTCCCTGACCCTGGTTGGGTTGTGCGGGAGGAAGCCAGTTGATGTGGCTCTATCATGTCGATGTTTCTCTCTGTCTCTCTCTCTCTCTCACTCTCTCTCTCTCTCCCCCCCCCCCCCTCCCATTCTATCTGAAAATAAACAGAAAGGTATCCTCGGGTGAGGAATAAATATGAAAAAAGAAGGTGGACAGTTTATCACTAAAACTGAAGAAGAATCTACCTGGTAACAAGAAGATGGAGAGTTTATCACTAAAATGGAAAAAAACCCCATCCGGAATCTTTGTCCGATGTCCTCTAAATCTCTCACATTTCTGCTTGACAGCTACATTTTTCCAGCTCTCTGTCTCTGAGGTAGTTTGAACCTCCACTCTCTCCCAGCAGCAGAACTGCACCCCCACTGACATAAGAAGTCCCAGCACCCCACCCTAAACCACAACCTCGGAGGCGTCCAGCTCACTGTACCCTGCAGCCCCCGCTCCCCTCATCCCGCTCAGATTGCAACACTCTCCCGACAGTCACTCTCCACACACCACCATTTCCCCGCACTGTGACCCCAGGGAGAGCCCCAGCCTGGACACACCCAACCACCCGCTTTCTCTGTTTGTACAGGAGGAAGAGTAGTGTCCCTGGAGAAAAATCACACAACCTGGTGACGGTATCACTAACTACTCGTGTCTGCGACCTCGCCTGGGCACTCAGCACTGCCCAGGAATTAACTGGATTTCTTGACCTTTCTACACAATTACTGTTTCATACTTTCCCCACTTTCCTCCAATATTTCGTTTCTTCTTATTCCCTTTGAGTATCCACTGATGGCCTCCTCATGCTGATACAGCATGCAGAGGAAATCCATTCCAGCTCCCCCACCTGCACTGGGGACCCGTTCTCTGTCCCTCCCGTTGTCTCAGGAGCACTACCCTCTATTGATCAAAACCTATCCATCCACAATGTTCTGGATCCCATCTCCCCTCCTCATCCAATCTCCATCCCTGCCACCCGGGCATCTGCCCTTTGATATCGCAAAGGTATCCCAACCTTCGCGTGTCCAGAAAGTTCTTCTTGGTCCTCCTTCCCTCCTCAAATCCACACTACCCATCACGTTTAACACCACTCTCACCCCTGTTCACACCATTACCAAATCGCGCCATCACATCTTACTCCCCGGTAACCTCCCCTCTACGTCCATCGCCCCTGCCACCTCTCGGCGACCTCCTACCCACACAGTTCCTGCCCTACCATCTATACATCTTCCAGCTTTTCTGACTTTGCCACAGCTCCCCTGTCCACTCGGGCTCAGAACCATAAGTAAGATGTCTTTCTTTCTTTCTTTCTTTATTTATTTATCCTCACCTGAGGAGATTTTTGCATTTATCTTCAGGCAGAGTGGGAGGAAGAAAGAGAGAGAAACACTGATGTGAGAGAGACACATCGAGTGGTTGCCACCCACACGACCCCAACCTGGGCCGGGGACAAACTACAACCAAGGTACATGCCCTTAGCGGACACTGAACCCGGGACTCTCTGGTCTGCAGGCCGAGGCTCTAACCACTGAGAAAACCAGCCAGGGCAGTAAGATGTCTTTAAATCGCTCCCTCCCCTCCAGTAATAGCCAAACTATCCCCTCACCCTGCGGACTTCACGCCAAGGCATCTCTCACATCCATGGCTTTTCTTCCAGAGTTTTCTCTGGCATTTTAACAAAAAGTACATTCCCAAAGACAGGAAGAAGTGAAAAACAAACAAAACTGCTGGAGTCTTTGGGATGCGCGAAGAGGAGGCCATCAGACCTAGACCATGGCAGAGGCCTCTGAACAGGCCTCCCGGCCATCAGGATCACCCCATCCCAGCCCCTCTCCCTACTGCCCCCCACTGTCAGCACCCTCCTGGCACTTGAATCTGTGCATGTTCACCTGGGTCGAGAACCGTCACAGGTTCTATAGCAACTGATAAATAAAGTTCACATTTGTCAACATGGTGGTAAGACTCATCCCGACTTGGTCCCAAGCTATCTCAACACAAGTCTATCCCCTACATTCCCCATAAATCCCACTTCCCCATGGTCTGCACTTCAGTACCGGGCTCACAATGACACCTCCGTCTAGAAGGCCCTTTTCCTCCATGGGATGCCCATCCTAAGGGCCCGACCTCTTCTGAGACTGGCTCCCTGGTGCCCTCACTGGAAGGAAGCCACAGTACTTCAGCCGAGTGGGATGCCCGAGCCTGCTCTGGAGCACGGCTATTAGGGTGTGTGGCTCCTTGCTGCTATGTGATCGCAATTCCTTGAAGACAAAGTCTGTTTCATTTACCTTTGTGTCCCCAAAGGCCTTGAATAAGAAAGCCCCTCTCTTAACCATACAATTAAATGAATCCAAATCTAACCATGCTTTGTAAAGTTAGTTGTCCCAGAGACAAACCTGAACTACATGCAGTTAAGATCTGGTGCTATGGAATTTGATCACTAAATAGGCCTCAGGGCCTTTGCACTTGCTGCTCCCTGTGCCTGGGATCCTCTTCTTCTGACTCTCTGGATGCCCAGCTCCTCTACCTTTAGTTCTCAACTCTAGTGATACTCCCTCAGAGAGGTGAGTTGGTCATTTACTTTTTAACCTTCTGTCTCCCTGGCTCTGTGAGGTACAGGTGGTGTGTCTTGTGTGCAGTGTACCAGCAATGCCTCAAGGGTACCTGGCACACAGAAGGCACCCAATAAATGGCTACTGAATCAATGAGCGAACAAAGGGGTGAATGGATGTATGCATGACCCTGGGTTGCTGCATACCATACACTGCTACTGGAAACTCTAAAATACGACAATATACTTACTTGTCCAACCTTTGAAAGTTTAAGTTCTCTTAACGTGTAGTCGTGAGCAGCACTTTCCTTGACATTCCTAACACGCATGACCCCGTACTCTTTCAGAGCATACTCATCAGGCCAGTATTTGACACATTTACTCTGGAAGGGATCAGAAACAAGACGGTTAATCTCTGTGAACTCTGAAAGAAAAGCCTAAACCAGCAGAAAGCAACGTTCAAGTCTCGCTTAACGACCCCTAACGTGGAGAGTGGCCTAACACTTAACTGTTGCCTAACACTTAACTGTTGACGTCCACAGAAAAGGGAAGGAGAGCTCGGATAGGAAGCAGGTGCTCGGAGAACCAGGGAGAAGGGGAAGAAAAGGCCACCTGTGCGGAGTTGTCCAATCCAACACGCAGGTCAAAGGAAAGTCAATGCTTGTTTAATTGTTATCTTTTTTTTTGGTTAATCCTCACCCAAGTATATTTTTCCATTGTTTATTAGAGAGAGTGGAAGGAAGGTAGAGAGGAGAGAGAAGAAAGAGAGAGACAGAGAAAGAGACAGAGAGAGTAACATGGGTGTGCAAGAGACACATTGATTGGTTGCCTCCCACATGACCCCGACCGGGGCTGGGGACCAAACCTGCAACCCAGGTACTTGCCCTTGACCAAGAATTGAACCCTTGACCCTTGGGTCTACTGGCCGAAACTCTAACCACTGAGCCAAACAGGCCAGGGCGTGTTTATTTCATTCTAAAGAACCAAAGATGCAGCGAGAGGGAATGACTAGGTGAGGGTGCCGCCTAGCACCCACTGAGCTATGAAGCCTGGAGATCTGCCGGTCGCTCCGCAGGGGAGGCAAGCGAGGACTCTGGAGGTGGATGGGCGCCCCACCAGCCAGCCCGTCTGGTTCCTTTCCACCCCAGCGTAGGAGGGCTCCGTGCCTTATCTAACCCAAGTGTGAATACCTCCAGCTCAGAAAGGCAGCCGACGGGGTTTCGAACCAGCTGCTTTTTCTATATCCAGATCCGTCTGCTACCTACTGCGCGTCCCGCCGCTTAACCGGGGGCCTGCGAGCGCCCAGCCTGCCAGGGCTGCTGGCTTCCCCGCAGGCAGACGGGAAACACGGCACCAAGAAAATCACTTTCTGCCAAAGAGGAAGACGTGCCGCTCGGTGAGCGATGCGTCTGTATAGATGTGCTGACGTGTCCTGGGCAAAGACTGATTTTATGTTTTGGTTTTTTTCTGGGTGTGGTCACCGACACCACTCCCTTTCCACGACCAGACAAATAAAAAAAATGTCCTTGCATAATAGAAAGATGGAGAAATTCCCAGTTATAAAAATAGAAATGAAAAGGCAGCTGCTGACTAGCCCCACGGTCAACGGTCAATTGAAAAGACGGCAGGAGCACAGTTCAACAGAAGAGTCTAATGGGTGGCGCGACATTTTTGCTGCGCACAGCTTGGGGTCTTTTATTTTTTATTATTTTGAATTCAGCTTTCCCTCCAGTGTTTTATAGATCCAAATACCCTGTGACAGACTTGATACAATTTTTCCCCCAATCAACACTTTTAATATTAATTGTACTCAAGGCTGTTACTAGCTTGTCAGTTCCGAGGACTGCTGTCACTCAAGAGAACACACAATCAAATCACAACTCTGACAGCATTTCAGCTGTAAAACAGCTGTAAAACACTGTGGCTGGCCTCCCACTTTTCCCAGCTCTGATGTCAAATTCTAAACCGTGAGGTCTAATGCTTTAGTTTTTAAACTGAAGCCCAGGGATCAAAAGGAATCCGGTCTGGTCTTACTCTACGTGGGCGGCGAGAAGGGATGAGCTGAGAGAGCAGGGTGTCGGAAGGCCTGTGGAGAGAATGAAAGCCCCAGTCACCCTCTCCACCCACAGAGCGAAGAGGAAGAATGGGAAGGCAGGCACAGACTGGGATGAGGCGGCGAGGAGGGGACAGAGCGACCTGGCCCAGTATCTGTCTGTTCTAGGAGCTTCTGGCAGCTCTTCTGAGAGACCAATCCTGATTCCTGTCTTCACAGCCCCCGAGTCCTCTGAGAAACAGGTGTCCTCCTATGACCATCATCGGACAACTCTCGGGACAGGGGGTTCGGCCTCCTTTCCATACTTAAGGCAGGGGACACTCACCTGAAGCGGAAACTATGAAGACGTTTAACTCATCCATTAATTCAAGAACTAATGTTACCACAGGACACCTGTTTCACGATGACTAGATCAGGCCTCAGAGGCATTCAGAAGCATATCAACCACCAGTACAACAGTGAAGATCTTATCAAATCACACTGCCCCTCACAACTATGAGAAAATTACAACAGGAGGGCTCAAATCCAAAAGCACCTACCTGTCTTAGGTTTAACTTATAAGTATGACCGCTGCATTCCATGCAACTTTTATATAAACCGATTCAAGTATATCTAAAAATGTACTTTGCCTAGAACACAAACAAAAACACAGAATTTTTCCATATTAAGAAACCTATGTGGACAGACTCACTTTGGGATACACACAGAGCTATCACTCAGTGAGATCTGTCTCCTTCTCTATAAGGGCAGATGCTACCATTTCTAACACCTGGAGTGTCGTGCAGAGTGTGGAGAGATGGCTACTAGGTCTCTGCAGCTGGGGGGTGCGCACTGGGACAGCCACTCCGGAAGGCAACTTGGCAGAACCTACACAGATTTATTACAACACCCACACCCTGTGACCTAGCACTTGACATCTATCCCAGAGAAACACTGGCCACACAGACACAAAAGCAAGAACAAGACTGCTCACTTCAGCACTGTTTATAAAAGCAAAAACTGAAACACTTACGTGCCCAGTGCATAATGGTTACATAAATGATGATACATACATACCATGAAGTATCATGCAATTACTAAGAGATAGACAACATGTAGTAACAGAAGTTAGAACATGTATGTAGTGGGAAAAAAATACCAAGATGCAATTTTTCATACAGTATTTTTCAGAAACTAGTGCTATATACTTATATAGGTACGTACATGTATGTACAGACATATATATGTAAATGTAGGTATGCAGTGTCTACAGCAATGCCTTTAATACATGTACATATGTAAACGCCAAGAAGAGAGTATAGGAGAATACACATCAAACAGGGTTTATGTTGGAGGAGGGGACTAAAATGGGTGGACGAGAGATGGTGACAAAGGCAACTTTAATCTTAACTTGAATACTCATATGAATATATTGTTCAGATAATTCAAATTAATTTTCAAATGCCTAAAAGTCACACACAGTACACTTATAAGATCAGTGAAATCACTGTTGATTTATTAGTGCTCTAATCACCTGCAAGTACTAGACAGGCCTTCTCACACCCCCTGTTTGACCACTACTTCTGGGAACAATGGAGTAACAGGGCTGGATGTACCCTCCCACCTTAAACAACTGGAAAACTGGGAAAATGAATCGGCACACGTAACAGGATTAGTAACAAGGACATTAAAACAGTTGTTATAAATTGTTCTACACATTCAAAGGTTAGAGAATGATACACATGAAAACATAGTAAAAAGGCTGTAATCAAACACCTGGAGATGAAAAGGACAATGTCTGAAGGAAAAATACACCAAACAGGACGAACAGACTATACACTGCAGAAAAAAAGATGAACTTAAAAACATGTAGAGAAAGAAACTATCCAAAATGAAACACAGAAGCAAAACAAGAGAAATATGTGCGTAGCTGGAGTTCCAGGACAGGATGAGGTGGAGTACATATCTGAAGAAATAATAAACATTGTCCAAATTTGAAAAAACAAACATAAATCCACAGATAAGAAAACTACACCAAGGCATGTCATCATCAAATTTCTTCAACATCCTTTTTCTAGAGGATCCGTTAGCTTAAGCTTAACCTGTTTATTCAATTCTTAACATGGTCAACCTGACATGAGCAATAATTTTTAAATATTCTATCAGAAGAATATGTAATATACCTTTCCTCTCTCCACTTCTTTCGTTGTCATGACAATCACTCGGGAATTCTCTTGAAATACCATCCGCCAAAAGTCATTTACAGTATTTTGCAGACAGCCTTGTGTGGCGATATAACTCTTTTTGGGCTTTGAATTGTTGCACTTGGTTTCAAATTCAGGCTAGAAATTTAGGAAGAAAACCGTCAAATATTTCAAAGTTGCTTTCAGGACACAAGAAAGGATTTAAATAAAAAACATGTATGGTCAGAAGACACTGTGAAGAGCGAAGTTTACCATGATAATATTTGCATTGATGTAATCGGAAACAGGCTCATTGGGATCACCGTCATGTAGAACAACCCTGGTGTGGTCAACTGGAAGAAAAAGACACCGCAGTCACACAAATACTCGACCTCATCAGGACAAATCTGTTCAAATCAGTTCATCCTCAAGATAGTCAGAGTTGTGTTCATTTAATGATAAAACCACATAAAAAATGAAACCCTTAGTAAGCACAATAACCTGACCACCATAGGATGCTTTCTTTGAGAAGAATAAAGTTTAAAAAGCCCTTTTTAATGTACTATGGACAATGTACTATGGACATACAGGATAGTATCATTGGGAGAAGCGAGGTAAGGGTACATGAGAACCTTATATATAGTTTTATAACTTCTTATGAATCTAAAACCTTTTTTTAGCCCTGGCCGGTTTGGCTCAGCGGTTAGAGCGTCGGCCTGCGGTCCTGAGAGACCCGGGTTCGGTTCCCGCTAAGGGCACGTACCTCGGTTGCAGTTTGTCCCCGGCCCTGGTCAGTTGTGCGGGTGGCAGCCACTCGATGTGTCCCTTTCACATCGATGTTTCTCTCTCTCTCTCTGTTCCTCTCTCTCCATCCCACTCTACCTGAACAAAAAATGGAAAAATGTCCTCGGGTGAGGATAAAAAAATAAAAATAAAAAATAAAACCTTTTTTTAAAGTTGCGTTTTCTTTTTTAAAAAGTAAGAATAAAAGTACAGGTAAATGACACAATGTCTGAGATCTGCTTCCAAAAGAAGTTGGAGAGAGAAGCAAAGCAGACAAAGCACAAGTGAGACAAGGGGCACGAGCTGACAATTACTGGGGCTGAGTGACGGGCACAGGTGGGCTCTTTCAACAATTCTGTCTACTCTTCTGAATTCATTTGAAACTTCCCATAAGAAAAAGGGCTTTTTAAACAAAGCAGAATGAAATACAGTATCTAGAGGACAAGACTCTGATGTATCAACTGACCAAACTCTGTACAAGTGGTACCCAAACCTGACTGCTCTACCCAAGCATCACATTTTACTATGGAAATTAGTAACATAGTTGTATGTCTTAAAAATAATATTCTCACCAAGCTGGTGTCCCTCAGTGGATTGAGCATCGTCCCATGGACTCAGAGGTCCTGGTTCTATTCCCGGCAAGGGCACATGCCTAGGTTTTAGGCTTGATCCCCGGTAGGGGATATGCAGGAGGCAGCTGATTGATGTTTCTCTCTCACATCGATGTTTCTATCTCTCTCTCCCATCCTCTCTTTCTAAAAATACTGCCCGGCTGGTGTGGCTCAGAGGATTGAGCACCGTCCCATGGACTGAGAGGTCCTGGTTCCATTCCCAGTCAGGGCACATGCCCGGGTTGTGGGCTCAATCCTCGGTACAGGGTGTGCAGGAGGCAGCTGATCGATGTTTCTCCCTCACACTGATGTTTCTCTTTCTCTCTCCCTCTAAAAAAAACAAAACATTTTTTTTTAAATACTGTTCTTTTGTCTCAGACTCCCCAAGTTTAAAGAAACAAGATGTTAATCAGAGGAAATGTCTAATTGAGATCTTATTTTTTTTTTTTAGTCCTCACCCGAGGACATTTTTGGATATTTTGTTCAGATGGAGTGGGAGGGAGAGAGAGGAACAGAGAGAGAGAGAGAAACATCGACGTGAAAGAGACACATCGAGTGGCTGCCACCCACACGACCCAACCAGGGCCGGGGACAAACTGCAACCGAGGTACGTGCCCTTAGCGGGAACCGAACCCGAGTCTCTCCGGACCGCAGGCCAACGCTCTAACCGCTGAGACAAACTGGCCAGGGCTAATTGAGATCTTTAAGGGAGGAAAGGGCAGTCATATTCTATTTAGATACTGTACACCATTGTTCCCTTCATCTTTTCCTACATCCCTACATCTTTTTTTTTTTCTTGTATTGATTTCAGAGAGAGAGGAAGGGAGAGGGAGAGAGAAACATAGATGTGAGGGAGAAACATCGATCGGTTGCTTCCCCTATGCATCCCAACCAGGGATCAAACCTACAACCTGGGTATGTGCCCTGACAGGGAAATCAAACCCACAACCCTTTGGAGCATGGGATGATGCTCCAACCAACTGAGCTACATGGGCCAGGGCTACATCCCTACATCTTACTAATGAGCACCATTAGACCTTCTGAGCAGAAATAAAAACTTAGACATAAAAAGCATGAGTCTTCCCCAAGGTCATCAGGACCATGCTGTGGCTCAAAGTGATTCTCTGCAAACTCCTCATTGCCTTTCCTCAGCACTATAAATGCCTCCGCACTCTCCCATCCTGACCTGCACACATTACAATAATCCATACGGATGTGATATGCATATATACCATGTCTGTGTACAGATGTATATGGAAAGAAAAACGCTATGCTACACACATACACACAATGGGTCTGCAGTATCGGACAAAATGGCTCTGACCTGGTGAGACATTAGAGCAATGCTCTCCGAATTTAACCACGCATCCTGATAAACTTGAAAAACAAAGTGTCTGAACACTGAAATACATACCCACATATACAATTATACATACAAACAAGCCTCCTTTTTTTGTTAATCCTCACCCGAGGATATTTTTCCATTAATCTTCTAGACAGAGTGGAAGGGAGGGGAAGGGAGGTCGACAGAGAGAGAGAAACATCGATGATAGAGAGACACATCGACTGGCTGCCTCCTGCACAACCCCGACTGGTGCCAGGGATCGAACCTGCAACCCAGGTATGTACCCTTGACTGAAATCGAACCCACGACCCTTGGGTCCGCAGGCCGACACTCTAACTGCTGAGCCAAACCGGCCATGGCAAACAAGCCTTCCTTTTAAGTTGGGGAAACATGTATGCACTGCCAACAATCTGTATACCAGATTTCAATTTTTCTTTTCCTTTTAAAAATAAAGGACAGGCCCTGGCCAGTTTGGCTCAGCGGTTAGAGCGTCGGCCTGCGGTCCGGAGAGACCCGGGTTCGGTTCCCGTTAAGGGCATGTACTTCGGTTGCAGTTTGTCCCCGGCCCTGGTTGGTTGTGCGGATGGCAGCCACTCGATGTGTCTCTTCACGTCGATGTTTCTCTCTCTCTCCCTTCCTCTCTGTCCCTCCCATTCTCTGTACAAAAAATGGAAAAATATCCTCGGGTGAGGATGAAAAAAATAAATAAATAAATAAATAAAAATAAAGGACAGAAAGCAAGAGGAGTCCTAAATGGTCCTCCCCTTTGCCACGGTGGACTGCCCGACCTAGCCCACTCTGGAGCCCCGCACACTAGAGCATGGTGCTCGGAGCAGTGACTTTGGGGGCTCTAATACCAGTTCCCCCCTTCGCTCCTACCTGCGACCTTCATAAAATGGTCCGTAAATTGGGACAGTAAGAGCACCTGCTCTGTGTGCATGTGGTCTGGGTAAGTGAGAGGGGACGCAGAGAGCCCGGCACAGTCAGCCCTCAGAAGGGAGAAGCTGTGCGGGCTGCTGAGAGCCATTTCTGGGATCCTCGTCCGAGGTCTATATCCTTCTGGGCCTCTCTTTCCCCTTGGTTCACCTTGGGCTCCACCTGGCAGCATCTGGGTGTTGAGGGAGGCACTCCTGAGCCAGGTGCAGGCACGTACCCGAACCTCCAGTCACTTGAGCTCAGGGCATCATGGAGCAGAACAGGTGGAAGAGCCCTCGGGAGGGGCCTGTCTGTTCCCCGGATGAGGGAACAGCGCCTCAGAAAGACCCCCGTGAGCCAGGACGCAAGCCTGGGACCCCTGCAGTTGGCTCCTGGTGTGGTCTGACACTGGGAGATAGCCAACCCAGAGATGATCACTCTTAGGCAAACAAAGTTAATTAAAAGAGAAAAACCACCCCACTCAGAACCTCCGAGTGGCAATTTTACTCAGTAATGAGCATCGCAGGAACTCGGTGAATGAGGCCATCAGTCCCTGTCACGGTTGATTATTTTGGAAACTGCTCACAATTAAAAGAGGCTAAGACCTTGGATCTGCTGAGAATCGAAATCTCCGAGAGTGACTATGACTGAGCAGAATGTTGATACTTACAGGGCAGGATGTTTTTATATCTATTTTTGTTTTTATTTTCTTGCCTCTGGCCCTCCTTTCGGCTATAGAGAAGTTTGCACTCCTGTTGTTGTAGTGTCTAGGGAGAAACGAAAGCAAACGTTATTATGCACCAAAAGCTTTTAAAAAAAGGCCTGGCTCGGTTTCTGCTTTAAGGACTTTTCCTCGGAAAGGCTCACGGCCCCGCGCAAGAGCTGTAAGAGTGTGCGCGTGTTCACGTGCCCACGGTGGCAAAAACATCAGCAGCAACGTCGGTGCCCGGCAGGAAGCAGCTGCCTAGAGAACGCTACCGCTCATCCGTGCGACAGAACCGCCTACCGCCATCTAAAAGATGGTCTAGGAGACTACTTCGTGCCTTGGGAAACGATCAGAATAAGTGTTAAGTGAAAAGAAGCTCCAACACGCAAAACAGTGTGTGACGTCAGCCGTGTCTGCGCGCGTGCTTAAGATGTGGTAGAAGGAGCTACACCCCAAAAGTAATGGGGTTCTTTTTCAGGTTAGTGGGGTTATGAAGGCCTTTTCTCCTACCCTCCCCCCATGTTTTTACTTTTTTTTTTTTTGGACAATGAATAAATATTTATAAAAAGAGAAGCCTTTTAAAATAATAATTACTAAGAATCAAAGCCAGGTGGAGGATGAAGAGGGTAAAGAGGACCAAATACATGAAGATAGGAAGCTAGACTTGGGTGGTGAGCACACAACAGAGTATACAGATGGTGTATTATAAAATTGTAGGCCTGAAATTCAGGTTATTAACCAATGTTACCCCAGTACATTTAATTTTTTTAAAAGAAGGAAAGCCAGTGGGTACTGGTACACAGTATATGAATAACAGATGTGAGCCATGTTCTTGAGGAGTTTATGATCTACCTCCTTTTACCACTGTTTAATTCAGAGCAAGCCCGACATACGCCAGCTGTCAAATTTAGACAGCAGAGGACAGAAGTGGTCTGGGGACTGGGCCGTGGGCACGCAGGCTTTGTGAGCAGGGCTTGAAGCCGGGGCAGCCAGTCCGCACCTACACTGACACTGCCCCGCCGTGGCCTCCCAGCCAGAGTGAACAACAGAAGCTGGATTCCAGGGCAAGTGGTCGGGAAGGGGCCTCTGCAGGGAAAGGGGGGGTGCCGTCGGGGAAAGAAGGGACTACAGCAGGCAGCCACCGTGGGACTGGCCCCATCGGAAGAGGGGATGTGGGAAAGAGGAGAGAAGGACCAGCTGCAGAAACAGGAAGGAGGACAAGCCAGGTTGAAGCATTTTCAAGGGCTAGGTTTCATTTTCAGAATTACAAACAAAACTGGTCTACAAGGGACCATTGGTTCCAAAGGAGCCTAATCTGTAACGGGAAATCACAAATGGGCAAATCAAGAAAGTGAAAAGCAGACTAAATGGAAAAAAAATATATAGATATATATATGTATATATATACACACACACATACATAACTAATTTATACATAACATAAATAAATGCTACAATGGTTACCTCTTAAAGATTTCTACCAGAAGTGACAGAATCAGTATTTCACAACACAGCAGCCCTGTTCTTTCCATTTCATTTATCTGAATTTCACAGACAGGTACGAAAGTCGGGAATTTAAATTGCTATTTGACTCTCAGTTCAAAATGCAATGTTCGGTCTTGACACACCGATGACAACAAAAGTGTTTAGCTACCTAGAACCGGGTGGAAGTAAAATACAATGACAATGAAATGGTCATTCGAACTGTTTCAGTGTGTGCAGATTAATTAATTAAAGCCACTTGCCTTCTCCCAGCTGGCATTTCCTCTGAACTGTGAGCCAGTCTTACTGAGCAACATTTGCTGAGATTACTGTGTTATTAGGAAGGAGGTTCGATCTGGATTTTTAGACATTAAGGTGAAGTTCAAAAAGTCCAAACCCTATGAACTGACTCAATTACTCAAAAATCAACAAAGAAGCCGGTGTGGCTCAGTTGGTTGGGCATCATCCCCTGCACCAAAAAGTCACCAGTTTGATTCCCAGTCAGGGCACACACCCAGGTTGTGGGCTAGATCCCCAAAAGGGGGCGTGCAGGAGGCAGCCAGCCAGCCAATGTTTCTCTCTCTCCCTTCCACTCTCTCTAAAATCAATTTTAAAAACGTGTTTTATTAAAAAATCAACAAAGAAAACAACATCACAAAAGTTAAATGAACTTGACAGTAAAGCAAAGCCATTGCTCACTCAGGAAACAAACTACACGTGACACCACTTGTGGAGGGCGCATGGCCAGAGCAATTGCCACAAAAGGTGCATTTCATCCAGGCCCTCCCTGTAGTCAATTTCTCCCTCTGCTTTCAAGATCAAGTCCAAACTTTTCAGAATAACTCACGAGGCCTTCTCTTCTGAGCTCACGGTAGCCTGCCTCTAACCTCAGCCTCTGCTTTGCCAAGTTACTAGCCCGCCTATGCCTCAGTTTCCTCAGATGTAAAGTTGAGGACAACCCTCATTACCTACCCCAGAGGGCCGGCGAGAAAGTTAAATGAGATCACTCTGTGAAGTGCAGACACGGGCCTGGCTCACCAGGAAGCACACGAGCAGAGGCTGGCTTTGCTGTTCAATTACTAGTTCCAGGAGCTCTGAGCCAGCTGCTCCCTGGGTGATCAGCAGACCAGCAGCAGCAGCAGCACCTGGGAGCTACTTAGACAAAGTCTCAGGTCCTGCCCCAGGTCTACGCACTCAAAATCTGCACTGCAACACGATTCCCAAGGGATTCCAATGCCCGGAGAAGTCCGGGACGCACTCCCTCTGCTCCGGCCACACTAAGATGTGCATGAGGGCCTGGGACTCGCCATATTTCTTCGGGCTTTCATGCTCTTGTACATGCTAACCCTCTGTCTGGAACCCCCTTTCTCTGCCTTGAGCACCTGTGCACAGCTACGTTTATTTTTTTGAAACCCACCTCAAATAATTTCTCTGCGCTGTCTGCAGTACCCTTCCTGCTGGGAAAATTTCTCGAGGTGTACTAGAACCGACTTTCAAAGCAAGAAGAGGCCGAGAGACCACAGAAAGAGGCTGGCAACTCCAGAATTAAACAGTTTATTAAGGCAACTTAGGGACAGAAGAAGAATCTAGGGCAGCAGCAAGACGGTGCCCACCAGAAAGGGGATGTGGACATGACATAGATCTATATGTATATCCAGGAATACAGGCGGCCTGCAGCCAAGCGGCAGGTGCTTGTTAAGAGCTGCTGTATATGACAAGGCAGCATATAATGCAATGGGCCTACTTATCTATCCTTTCAGGGGACATGGGCCCACCCCTCCCAGGGTGAACTGGTGATCACTGAGAGCAACTTGCTTTTTAAGATGGTGTCAGTCACGTCAAGCACTAGAAACCACTTTGGCTAACACTTTCCATGAGTATACTTGTCAACTGAATCCCACTTGTGTTTTTCCAATCTGTCTCCTCCACAGAGTGGGGACTACCTTGCTATGCCTACAACCTACACAGACTCAGGCACACAGTAGGCATTCAAAATGTGTTTTCTGGCCCTGGCCAATTTGGCTCAGCAGTTGGAGCGTCGGCCCGCGGACCAGAGAGTCCCAGGTTCAGTTCCCGCTAAGGGCACGTACTTCAGCTGCAGTTTGTCCCCGGCCCCGGTTGGGGTCGTGTGGGTGGCAACCACTTGATGTGTCTCTCACATGGATGTTTCTCTCTCTCTTCCTCCCTCTCCCCTCCCGCTCTACCTGAAGATAAATGCAAAACGTCCTCGAGTGAGGATAAGAAAAAAAAAAATTTTTTTTTAAATGTGCTTTGTGGAAATGGGACAGTGCCAGGTATCAGAGGCAGATGTTAAAGATGTGTTAGCACTACACCCAGACCTCCTCCGAGCCTCGGCAAAAGGTTGGATAAGGGTACAAAAAGAACACCTTTCTCTGCCCTGGCCGGTTTGGCCCAGTGGTTAACAGCATCGGCCCTTGGACCAAAGAGTCGCAGATTCAATTCCCGGTCAAGGGCACGTACCTTAGTGGCGGGTTCAATCCCCAGCCCTGGTCAGGGTTGTACGGGAGGCAACCAGTCGATGTGTCTCTCTCACATTGATGTTTCTCTCTCTCTCTCTCTCTCTCTCTCTCTCTCTCTCTCTCTCTCTCTCTCCCTGTCCCTCCTACTCTGTCTAAAAAAAAAAAAAAAAAAAAAAAAAGAACAAAAAAAATATCCTCAGGTAAGGATAGAAAAAAAATAAATAAAAAGAACACCTTTCTCATTTGCTAACTGCATCTTATTTATTTACTGTGATGGGGGTACCACCAAACAACACCTCACACACAAAGAAACACTTAGCCAGACTAAATTCAGAGTTCCAGGTCAGCCAGAAGCTTCCCTCATCCTGCATTAAGTTCCCAATTCCCCCTTCCACACGGATTTGGGAGTTGAACAGCACACAAGTTGAGATAGGCCTTTCGGCCCTGGAATCTTCCAGAAAGGACAGGCACAGAGCCCCTTTCCCAAGCAGCAGTCAGGAGCTAAGTGCCTGCGGCTGGCAGCTGTCACCGATTAATAATGACTGCCAGTGTGTCTCCCCCAGCTCCTTCCTCGGTGCCCATTAGCCCATTCTCATCTGTGCCCGGGGCCCGAGCTGCCTGAACACATTTCATTTCCCGCAGAGAAAGGCTGCCATCCATCTAGAGTGAGGCTGACAATAAGAACTCAGAAGTTGTGCCTTGCCACGCTCTGCCCTCAGAGGCTCCCAAACAGCACGGAGATAATCAGCGACCACCTGCTAAGGGCGCTTCCTCCGCAGCATCAGGCTGATGGCTGGACGAGGCAGAAGAAAGTCCAGCAAACCCTGCCCCCAGGAGGCTACATTCCTTTCTGGTTTATCTTCCACCGCCTCCTTCTCACCAGCAGCCCCCGGGGCACCAAAAGCTGAGAAGGACCTGTCAGCTGAATGTCACTGTGTCTCCATCAGTGATAAGGCTGGGACAGGAGCAAAAAGACCTGTGGAAAGCCGGGACACAGGCTCAAGCCTCTCCATTTTCCCCAGCAACACAGCTCAAGGGTTTGCACCAAACGCTGAGCCCTCGGAAAGGGCCCGAGGCTAGTTCCAGTCCCTACTGCCTGAGTCAAAGCAGATCTGGAGCCAAAGGGATTGCATGAAACTACTAAACTGTAAGAGGCATCAAGAAAAAGTCACTCCCCTGGTCCCGAGATCCCGAGATCCCAGCAGTACAGCTGACAGGATGGGACAAGTATTCACTGTGCAGAGCCATCCCTCACATTTGCGGCTCTGCCCCCACCCCTGGACCCCTGCTAGCCAAAATGCCAACGGCAGCCTCCCCAGTCGCCGCTATGACCAAAGAGAGACCCCCCACAGGCTTCCAAAGCCCTGAATGAAAACCAGCCTGGCTCTTGACCAGAATGTCATGAGCACGAGTGGAGGAACAGGATCGGGAGAGACGAGCAGGCAGCAGACAGAATGGCAGAGCCGGGCATCCCCACGCACCCCCACGCACCCCCGTGCCCATGACTCCTGCACTCTCTGAGCAACAGGCACAAGGCGCCTGGTTGCGGGAAAGTAACACCACTAACCTCTAAGGACGGACCAGCTGCAGTTACCTTACTTTAAAAGCAAAGCTACGAGGGTGTATAGCCAGGGGTGCGGAGGGCCTGGAGATAGGAAATGCGGTTAATAAACACTGACCATGGTTAAAGCTGGGTGTTGAGAAAAAAGAGGCTCATGCTATCTTCTCTACTTCTGGGTGCTTGAAAATGTCAATAAAAGGTTTTTATACATAAATTGACAATACATAAAAATGTTAAAGCTCCTACTAACCCTCCCCCACCCCACCCGTGGCTGTGGCCTCCTGAAGGAGAGGGAGCTCAGAAGGGCTATCAGACAGATGGCCTCTCGGGTCTGGATGCCCGAATATTTAGTGAGACAGCGGTAACCACCTGGGCGGGCTCCAAACCAAGCCCTCTCCCTGATCTGAATACACTTCTGTCTTCCTTTGGCATCTGTCTCTATGCACAGGAACACTGCCACTTCTCTGCAGTGTGACCGGCCACCACGGTGGGTGAAAGCCACCCACTACACGGCCAGTCACCGTTTCTCTGCAGTTGACTAGCGGCAGCTCTGTCCAGGAATGAAAGGGCAACTGGAGACTCGTCACCAGAGAACGTGCAACTGATCAAAAGCAAAACCAACCCGCAATTCAGTCCCTCCGTGTGCCTGTTGGAAGCCAAGTCACCTCCTCCCTCCCACAGGCGGAGTACAGGCAGAAAAGCAAATCAAAAGGCATGGTCCCTGGAGGGGAACAGGTTGTGACCAGGAAACAGCAGCAAGCAGTACAAGACAAATCTATCATTAAGTATGGGATTACTTATGTCGTGTGGGGTTTCTGGAAGGAGCAGGTGAAGAACTTAGATGCAATTACGAAAGGAAGCCATCCCACAAGTTGAAGGATGTCAGTAAAGGCGGCTAAGAGGCTGGAGTTCGTGAGAGCGGGAGGGAGACTGGCCGACGAGCCTGGACCCTGTGTGCCAGCACGTGGTGGGAAATGCCGTTAGGTGGAGAGAGTAAGTAAAACTATGGAGGGCTTGAGAACTGGGCAGAAGATGTTCAACGGCCGCGTGGAAGGAGTGCGGTGTAATGGACTTGGAATCAGAAGTCCCGAAGTTCAAACCGCACCCAACCATCTGCCAGTCATACAACCAGGGACAACCTCGCTTCTGGCCTTCGGTTTCTTCGTCTCCAAAATGAAAATGCTGTATCTCTAGTGGGAAATAGGGAGCCACTGAAGGTTTCTGAGCAGGAGAGTAACAGGAGAAACAGAGTGGATTAGCATGAAGGGTGAGTGGAGGGTCAGAGGTCAAGTAAAGAGCAGCTCATGTCTTCCAGGTGATGAGAGCCTGCACCCCTCGCAGGTGGTGAGACTCCTGTCTCTGCTGGTGCCCACCTGGGCAGTCCTGGGCAGGCACCTTGATCTCTCGGAGCATCCTGGGATTGCTCTACCTACCCCACAAGATCGGAGGATGCAATGAGATGACTTCCTGAGCCCAAGATGCGGCACCAAGTAGAAAATAAAGGCTTGTTTCTTTCCTTCCTCTAAGAGGAACCTGTGGATCACAACCCCTTTGGGGGTCGGACGACCCTTTCACAGGGGTCGCCTAAGACATAACAGTAGCAAAATTACAGTTATGAAGTAGCAACCAAAATAATTTTATGGTTGGGGGTCACCAGAACATGAGGACCTGTATGAAAGGGTCGAGGCGTGAGGAAGGTTGAGAACCGCTGCCTAAGACCAGAAAGGGAAATCATCAGAGCCTGGAGACAGCGAGGGTGGGAGGAAGAAGAAAAAGGAGGTAAGGGATGCTCTGAGGCTTCCGGCCAACCGGCCAAAGAATAAGCAGCACCACCACCACCACAGACACAGAAGTCAAAGGAGGTATTTGGCTTGAAGGGGAAAATAACAGGTCCTGTTCCGAATGCTCGAGTTTGCAGAGATATGACAGCCAAGAAGAAATGCAGAAGGTACAAGCCAGAAGGCAAAACCAGAGCTGAAAGCAACACATACCCAGGGAGAATCAGAAAACGATGAGACTAGATACGCTCCCCAAAGAAAAACACACTTGAAGATGAGGACAGGCCCAGACCACATCTTGGAGAACCACCAGAATTGGCTGGTTGAGAGGAAAAAAGGCAACAAACAGCCGAAGGGGCACAAGGGAGGGGAAGAAAAGTGAACCAGGGGCGTGCTGCTGCGGATCAGAGTAACCAAGAGAACGGGGCATGAGGAGCTGGACAGCTGTCTTAAGAGCAGCGCCAGGAAGAAAGAGGCTGGAGAACAGACTCTTTGTATCACAGTGAGAGAGCCACTGGTGTCTTTTGAGAACGTAATTTCAGCACATGGGGAGAAGTCACCTTCCAAGGTTAAAGGAAGGAGCTAAGAAATGGAGGGCCCGGCCCAAGCCCATCCGATGAGCAGGCGGACGGCAGGCGCAGCGAGAAGCAAGGTCGGTCCGAGGCAAAAGGAAAAGGTGAAGCAGAGACGTGAAAGCACCTTGGGTTCTTAAGTTCTCTGTAAAAATGCCAAGAAGAGCCAGCAAATAAAAACAAGTCTAAAGAGAAAAACGTGACACTGGAGGGGCAGAGAATGGGGGGGGGGGGGGGACAGTCCAAAGGAAACAAAGGAATGTTTCCAGAATGAAGCTTTTGGATTAAACCTCCACCACTGCAGTGCTCCGCCCACAGGAATGGAGCAGCCCTTCTGTGAGCTGCTGGGAGCCCAGGCCGAGATGGAAAGTCCTGGATACAGCTCCCACTGCCAACCTGGAGTCTAAGCTGCAGCCCGGCTGGGGACTGCGGTTCAGTGTGGCACTGCTCAGACACCAAGGGGAAGACGTCCACCAGAGATCACCAGAAAGAACGATTATTCTAGACACAGCTTTGGGGTGCAGTGAACGTCGTTTCCATAAAACCTGACCATCTCGAAGGAGAATTTACAGCTCCCCTGGGCAGGCTGTGATCACTTTAAAGAAATCAAGCGGGACTGTGGGCGTGAAGACAGGCACGAGCCCCTCCTGGAGACACGTCAGCTGGCTGAGCGGCCGTGGAATCAGGACATCTGGGGGCTGTCAGTGAAATGGCCGGGTCCTGTGCAAACTGAAAACAGCCTCAGAGCACGACAGAGGGGAATGGCCTGAGCGACAGGAAGAAGGCTGGGCTTTAAAAACAAACCAGATTACTGAGGAAAACAAGCTTTAAAGTGATGAGGAAAAATAACCCCAGTGAATAAGTGTTATGTGGGGTTGGTATGGGTGTGTATTGTGCTTGTTTGTTTTTAATATGTTTTTATTGATTTGAGAGAGAAAGAGAGAAACATCGCTGTGAGAGAAACATTGATCAGTGGCCCCCTGCACGCACCCCAACCAGGGATTGAGCCCACAGCCTGGGGATGTGCCCTGACCGGGAATCAAATCAGCGACCTTTTGGTGCACAGGATGACACTCAACCATCTGAGCCACACTGCGGCTAAAATGACTTCATTTGACCATTCCACAAATATATGTAAATTCTAACATCCTATGGAATAACGGACCATTTAGAGAGTTTCCGTGTGTGCCAGGCACTGTGACACATGCCAGGGACAACAGCGAAGGTGACTATGGCACAACCCTTGTTTCTGGGGAAGCTTTCTGTCGAGTGGATGCACAGAGAGAGGGCGAGATAACGATGACACACCAGAGCACACTGCACATCCCCACTGGGGAACGTTCTCCTACCCGAGCTGGTTTCAAGAAAGAATCAGTTTACTTAACTTTCCAACGTTATAAATGTCAACACGCAAAGCAAAGCCAGCACACATTTCTTTTACTTACTCACTGCACTAAGGCTACAGATTCTTTCTGAAGCCCCCAGCCAGAGCTGGAAATCTTTCAAAGGAGTTAGGTCCTTTTGTGTATCTGGGTTTCTGCCAGCAAACCAAAAAGCCAAATGGAGCTACTGGCTCATCCATTTCACACCAACTGCCAAGTCCCTTCCCCAGAACACAGTGCCCTTCTATCTCAAAGAGGCCCCTCCGCAACTCATTCCATGTCAATCAATGGCCCAACTAGGACACAGATTCAAGTCTTTCAGATCCCAGTGCAAACACGAGACCAACTTCTCATCTATTAAAATTAGGATTTAGTAACTCATGTAAAAAAAAAATTGTTTTTAATGACTTACCTCAAATTCTTCCCAAAAGCCTTGTTTGACTTTATCTGTGGTCTCAGCTAATTTGCTTAGTTCTCGAACCCGGCTCTCTATTTCAGCAGCATTGATGCGAGTTGTGTTGAGGGGCTAATCAAATCCAGCCATCGGTGTGAAATAAAAAAAGTATTACAGAAAAAAATGTTAATGCAAAACAAAACAAAAGCAGTAACAAACGAGCCGTCTGTTTTGGTATTCGTGAAGGCAAGGACAGGAAGTTCACAGGACCTGTAACTCTCAATAAACATTTTCAAATCAAGTTTCACTTTCTCTTCTGTTCTGTCAGGAAAAAAAATCTTTCTCCAATCTCCACATACACTTTACTCTGCTGGTATAAATTTAATCATTTTTTCTTTATAAAACAGACCACAATATTAGACAGATAATATAATTTGCCACTAAGTGATAAGAGTGAGCTTGGAAATAGCAATAACTCCAAAATGAGTATGATCACCAAAGGTGCACCTACAATGACAACTTGGTGAATACTTGCTTTAAAAACTCTGAAAGCCGTTTAGAGATACATATGGAGACAGTCATGGGAATAATGTGACATCTGAAATATTTTCCCAAATACCACAGGAGGAGGACAGTGAGTGGAGGGATAAATGAAGTAGGATTTGATGTGGTGATCATAACTGAAGCTGGGTGATGGGCACACAGAGGTTCATGACACTATTCTATTCCTGAATATTTGGAATATCCTATATTGGGTTTTTTTCAATGCTATAAGGAGATGGAGCTTTAGCTTTCTAATCGCTCACCTGCTTGAGCTGTAGAACTGTGCCCAATGTTTCCACCATAGGATTCTTCTTATAATGCTCCACGAGATCTGTCAAAGAGTCGAACCGTTCTCCTCCGCCAACATCATATTTCAGTTCCTTCCAACACAAAAAAAATGATGTTTATTACCTCTGTGTTAAAGGACTGTTTCCAGACGTAAGTGCAGAGATGAACTCCCCACCATGCCCAGGAACGGAAAGATCAGGTGGCTGTGGTAAGGACACCATGGAAAGGACACTACGAGGATGATAAAAATGGAATGACCAACCCAAGGGTTCACTGTGGGGTGTGAAAAGCAATGAATAAGTATCCAACATCAACTAGGCCACAGGAAAGTTTCTCCTTCATAAACAGCTTTTAAAAAAAATAGAAAAATAGTATTCTTTATTCTCTACTTATACCTTAGGCCAAGCGACAACACATAAGGCTCCTGACTAGAAGATAATAACTATTTCTCTCTGAAACACAACAAACTCCAAGGTTGGTAAGGCAGCACTGAAGCCCAATATATGTTTCTTTACTTTCATCTTCTAATGAAAATTATAAACAGGGACCAGGAAACTTTTTCTAACAAGGAGATCCAAATAGACTATTTAAGGGAAACAACAAGAACACAGTTAAACTCAGAAAATACAAAACCCTAGAAAGAATATACATGAAGATATTTGGGTACAGTCTTTTATTTAAAAATAAAACTTTCATAATGACAAAGTAAAGACCTCTGAAAATATATTCTTCCATAAAAGCAGCAAGAACACTGGCAAAAACTGTCATCAACTTTTTCAGAACTCTGACAATTAAAGAACTTTCAACAGTCCAAGGAGTATTTTATTCAAGAAAAATTATTGGATCTTGGTAAGAGCAACAAACTGTGGCATTTTAACTCGCCCTATTCCCACCCATCTCTCCCCAGCTCCTCGGTAGCTTTGAAAACCAGCAGCCTCGTGATCACAGTAACTATGAAAACAAGCGATTTAGCACAAATAGAGGGGACAGAATGGATTTGAACCTCTCGAGAGAGACCTATCCCCAGAGAATTATCATTATTTGGCCTTTTTGGCAGCTCCCTGGAAAAGTCCTGTTTTCAGAGCTTGTCTTTATTTGATTGACTCAGAGTTCACTCAGCCTGTCTTCAGGGTATCTGCTGGAAAACAATCAGCAGCAACTATCTAATATTGTGGCTGCCTGAGGTGGCAATACCAGTTAGGGCAAATAAGAGACTGACCAAAAACGTAAAAAGGAAACCTAGGCAATGACCACAGGGAGCTCTGAAAACCTCCAACATATTCTTGAGAATCTAAAAAACCATGTGCATATGCAGGACTGTGTGAAGTTCAAGAAAAATATGAGAAGGCCCCAATCTTCACCTTTAGCTGACCTTAAAGTTCTGCATAAGCAGGAAAGGAAAGCTAAGGCAGAGCTTTAAGCTGCCAGAATGTTAAAATCATGCCAACAGCCTGGCCAGTGTGGCTCAGTGGCTGAGTGTCGACCCAAGCACCAAGAGGTCACCAGTTTGATTCCCGGTCAGAGCACATGCCCAGGTTGTGGGCCCAATCCCCAGTGGGGGGCATGCAGGAGGCAGCCAATTGATGTTCTCTCTCACTGATGTTTCTACCTCTCTCTCTCTCTCCCATCCTCTCCCTCTAGAATCAATAAAGAAAAAAAAAATTTTTTTAATTAGTCATGCCAACCGACACACACACACACACACACCCCTTTGGCAAAGGCTGGGAGACTTAATGGTTCAAGGCATGTAAGGAAATATCTATCCAATCATTAACTAACCAATAGACTAACCAAAGGCTTCAGTGGTTGTACATGAAAAAGAAGTCAGACTTTACAGAGTTGGTCTAATAGTCACTAAACATACAGACAGCGACAAGTACAACAACAATAAAAAGTAACAACAAAAGCCCTGGGAAAGAAGGGCATCTGATTTCCAGAGTCGCTATATTATTTAAAATGTCTAGTTACCAACAAAAAGTATGAGACATGCAAAGAAATAGGGAAGTATGGCCCATACACAGGATGAAAAGAGCACTCAATAGAAGCTGTTCTTAGAAAGCCCAGACACAGACTTTAAATTGGCTAATACAAATATGTCCAAAGAGCTAAAGGAAAACACACTTCACAAATTAAAAGAAAATATGAGCATGTTGTCTCATCAAATTGAAAATATTGCAAAAACGTGTACACAAATGTTCATAGCAGCATTATTCACAATAGCCCAAAAGCCCATCATTTTTTAATGGATATCCCATTGTATGATATATATCCATACAATAGAATATTTGACAATACAAAGAGCTTAATGATAAGCGCTATAACATAGATAAACTTTGAAAATGTTATGCTAGCCTGGCCAGGTTGGCTCAGCAGTTACAGCACCGGCCTACAGACCAAGGAGTTGTGGGTTCAATTCCCAGCCAAGGGCACATACCTCAACTGTGGGTTTGATCCCTGGCTCCAGAGCTGTGTGGGAGACAACCAACTGATGTGTTTCTCTCACATCAGTGTTTCTCTCTCCCTCCTTCCCTCCTTCCCACTCTATCTGATAAAAATCAATGGAAAAATATCCTCAGGTGAGAATTTTAAAAAAAGAAAATCTTATGCTAAGTAAAAGAAACCAGACAAACAAGGCCACACATTATATAACTTATCTATATGAAATATCTAAAATAGGCAAATACACAGAAACAAAAAGACTCGCGGTTGCCAAGAGCTGGGCGGAGAGGGAAAAACGAGGAGTGACTGGTAATGAACACAGGTGATGAACACATCCTGGTGATGAAAATGTTCTGAGATTCAATAGTGTTGGTGGTTGAATAATTCGTGAATATTCTAAAAACCACTAAATGGTCCACTCTAAAAGGGTAAATAGTATGGTGTATGGATTATTTCTCAACAGAGATGTTTTGTAAATCTAATTCAAAAACTAAGCAAGCCCTGGCCAGTTTAGCTTAGCGGTTAGAGCGTTGGCCCACAGACCAGAGAGGCCTGGGTTGGGTTCCCGCAGTTTGTCCCTGCCCTGGTTGAGGTCATGTGGGTGGCAACCAGTCAATGTGTCTCTCTCACATCAATGTTTCTCTCTCTCTCTTCCTCCCTCTCTCCCTCCCGCTCTATCTGAAGATAAATGCAGGGGGAAAAAATGTCCTCGGGTGAGGAAAAAAAATTTAAAAACTAAAGCAACAGTAAATAAAGAGTTTCTATTTAGGAACAAAGTTTGACATAGTCAACCAAGAATCACCCACCTTGGTCCCATCACCACACTAAAAATAAGAAACAGGGAGTTCAGCCTTGGCCGGGTGGGTCAGTTGTTTGGAGCGTCGTCCCACACACCAAAAGGCTGTGGGTTTAATTCCTGGTCAGGGCACATACAGGAGGAACTGATTGATGTTTCTCTTTCACATCCATGTTTCTCTCTCTCTCTTGCCCTGCCTCTCTCTCTAAAATCAATAAATATATCCTCAAATAAGGATAAAAAAAACACACAGTAAGTTCAATTCCCCCATCCTTAATGCAGGAACTCTGTAATATGAAGGCTCGACTGGGACAATCCTGAGGAGGAGCTGAGACCATTATTTTGGAGACAAGACTGAAGCCAACTCCAACTACAATCAAGCAGAAACAGATCAGACACTGCAGGGCAGGAGGTGATGCAGAGGCATGACTTAATCCACCAACGAGAGACTGGAAAGAAATAATTTAATAAAGTTCTGAAACGATGAAACGATCATAATTACGAAAACTGTAGAAGTCCTTGGCCAAGTGAGCAAAGAAAATCTGACTTTGAAGAAAAATAAGAAAATCTGACTTTGGAAGTCACGGTGTCTGTCCTCTCCAAGCAGAAAAATCACCCAAAGACGACATTTTGCCAGACCCAAGTTCAACTGAGTCTTTACCTGACAGCGGATCATGACGTGGGTCACTTTGGACTTGCCGTCATTGCTCTCCCCCTTGTCATCACCAGTTCGGACAGAGAGAACAAAATCTCCAGGGTGGCTCTGGCTCTCTCGTACCAGGAAGCTGCCGTGTTTTCCTTTCTCGGTTAATAACTTCTCTGCTTCTTTCCCAGAGAGGTGTCCGTGAAACCACCTAGATTTTTAAAAATGAAAATAAATTGAGTTTTGCCGTGGGATACAACACTCTTTCACAAAACTACCATATATAGTCAGCTTTCCTAAACGCAATCGCAAAACAAGCACAATCCTCCAAGAGATTGAGCGATACCGTGTAAGCCAGAATTTGCAACCCAAGCAGACGGGAAGAATGACAAAGATGTCAAGAATGACCACTAAACTTCTTAAATGAGCCCCCAGTCATTTGGAAACAAATATCCTCAATCTTGCCTCTAACTATTTAATCACAGCCACGTAAAGAAATTATAGTAGAAAGCTATGGTAGAGACAGAGAATGATCTAAATGCTTGTCCTTGCCCTGGCATGTGGACAGGATGCAAAAAAGATCTTCATTATAAATTAATTCAAGCATTTCAAATTTTTCCATATTTCTAACTCATACGTGGACAAGTCTGCTATCAACATCTTTGGCCTGTATGCTGGGTTATCATTTCAAACTTTAATGCATGTAAGACTAAGAGTAGAGGTGAGGGATTTTGCTGAAAATGTGAATTCCCATTGTGCACAACCAGAGATACTAATACACTACTGAATGGGGCCCAGCAATCTGCACTCTTAACCAGTACGCCAGAGTCCTGATGTAAGCCGTCCAAGGACAGATTTCAAGATACTATAAAAAAATCTTAACATAGTCATGTTAATGAGGTGGCTTTTTCCCTCAAGATCTTGGTTATAAAACAAGTACTCTCCTGGCAGATGATGCTCATCACTACAGGATGAACAGAGGAAAATTTGGAAATCAAATGCACAGAGTTGGCAGGCAGCCTTTTACTTAAAGCTACAGGGGTAGCTGGAGAAACAAATTATCAGCATATAATAGCACTGCAATAGAGGTGCAGGTTGAAGAAAATTACCTGAAGATACAAACTACAGAAACCTAATTAAGAGACCCTGAATTTGTAATGAGTCAGAGGAGACTGGGAATGCAGAAAGCCAATGAAATCAATACAAATTAAGCCAAGCCCCAGCTAACATCAGCTCAGTTCCAACACAGTGATGGGGGAAAGAGCTCTGAAATAACACAATTACTGCTAAGCAAGGTCATTCTCACACATTTGTGGGTGTAACAGAAAGGAGCTGTTGAAAATCAGACCATTCGAGTGCTCAGCGTTCCCACTTCTGAGCTTAAACTGACATCTGTTGGTGGCTCTGCTGAATAACTGCTTAGGAGCTACTACCGAGAACTGCTGCGACTTTGATGTCGCCATTATCATTTGTTCTCCTCTCATAACTCTCCAAGATTATCAGCTGAAGTTCAATAATCTTAAAATTACGGCACAAACTAAGACTATACAGGAGCCCTGGCCGGTTTGGCTCAGCAGTTAGAACGTCGGCCTGAGGGCCAATGAGTCGCAGGTTTGATTCTGGTCAAGGGCACATACCTCGGTTGTGGTTCTGTCCCCGGCCCTGGTCGGGGTCAAGCGGGAGGCAACCAGTCAATGTGTCTCTCTCACATCGGTGTTTCTCTCTCTCTCTCTCTCTCTCCCTCCTCCCCTCCCACTCCATAGGACGATAAATGAAGAAAAAAAAAAAATCCTCTAGTGAGAATTAAAAAAAAAAGAATATACAGGAATAGCCTGAGACCCCAAGAATGAGTGTAAGCAACACCAATGGAAACCTCTGCAAGGAAAGGGCACTCTGAGAATAATCTGATCCTATTATTCTTACTTTAATAAAACTTTAAAAGCTGCAGTTTGGGGTGAAAAAGGCGAAGGGATTAAGATGTACAAATTGGCCCTCACTGGTGGGGCTCAGTTGGTTGAGCATCGTCCCATGCACCAAAAGGTCACCAGTTTAATTCCCGCTCCGGGCACATGCCCGGGTTGTGGGCTAGATCCCCCGTAGGGGGCGTGCAGCAGGAGGTCCATCGATGTTTCTTTCTCACATGGATGTTGCTCTCTCTCTCCCCATCTCCCTTCCTCTCTCTCTAAAAGCAATAAAAACATTTTAAAAAAAGATGTACAGCCCTGGTCAGTTTGGCTCAGCGGTTAGAGCATCCGCCTGTGGTCCAGAGAGACCCGGGTTCGGTTCCCACTAAGGGCATGTACCTCGGTTGCAGTTTGTCCCCGGCCCTGGTTGGTCATACGGGTGGCAGCCACTCGATGTGTCCCTTCACGTCGATGTTTCTCTCTCTCTCTCCCTCCCACTCTATCTGTACAAAAAAATGGAAAAATATCCTCGAGTGAGGATAAAAAAAAAAAAAAAAAAGATGTACAAATTAACAGTTACAAAAGAATCATGGGAGTGTAAAGTACAGCTTAGGGAATGCAGTCAATAATACTGTAACAACTATATATGGTGTCAGGTGGATGCAAGACTTATCAGGGGATCACTTCATAAGTTATATAAATGTCTAATCATGAGGCTGTACACCTGGAACTAATATAATATTGAATATCGACTGTAATTGAAATTTTGAAATTTTAAATACAGATTGCAGCTAGAGAAACAGGTACAAGCCAAACCCCCACAAATGCATTCACATAACACTTATGGCACAGGAAAGAGGCAGAGACTATGTAGTTACTAAAATGTCACTGACCTTTCAGAGGTAGGATCTGCACAGTTCAGAGGATATTTGAGCTCAATAACATCTCCATTCTTCTCTTTTAATTGCCCATGATGTTCCATGTAATACTGAACCAACTCAGCCAAAGTGGCAAACTTCTCCCCTCCATACAGGTCATAGTAATCACCAGTGTTCTGAATCTTGATGTGAGTGACAGCTCCATTTCTCCTAAAATAGTCCATTAGAAAGAGGGGAACACAAATAAAGCACTATACTAGTAAAAATAAATCTCATATTCATTATCGGGTTGCACCTGAACATTCAAACAAACCCAAGGACCGAGTTTACACTTACCCTATAAGAAATGCCTGAGTGAAATGACCACACAGTCCATCATTTCAACACACAGGGCTCTGTTTATTAGTTTCTGCCCTTGTACAACTTCTACTTTGAAAGTCTGATCTATCAAATTGCATATTTTAAGTGCCAACAATTTTTCTCATCATTAATCAAGATACATATGATTAAAAGTTAAACAGCTCGGCCAGTGTGGCTCAGTGGTTGAGCATCGACCCATGCACCGAGAGGTCCTGATTTGATTCCCGGCCAGGGCACATGCCCAGGCTGTGGGCCAAATCCCCGGTGGGGGGCATGCTGAAGGCAGCCAATTGATGTTTTTCTCTCACATCGATGTTTCTATCTCTCTCTTCCTTCCTCTCTCTCTAAAATATCAATTTAAAAAAAGAAATATAAAAAAATCATTTTCAAGACATATAATTGACAGTTTCCAGATTAGATTTACTATGTTATTCCACTGAGTTGACATAACATTAGCCAAAAGTGAGTAAAACTCGGTATTTTAGTTAGCCTAGGCCATCTGTGGTTTTCTGAACTTCTAAATACATCTTTAGGACACCCAATTATCACCTAGGTGGACCCGTATTTATTTTTAGTCTGACCCTGTAGCATCAGTGATGAAGCCTCTGGAAAATAAAAGCACAATTCTACCAATGAAAAAGAAAAACGGGACTAAGGAAAATAAGCAAAATCATTCCCTAATGTTACTAACAATATCTACTTCTAATTTTTGGTGAAAACCTTTTCCAGTGGGTAAAAAAGGCACTTCGGGTCACTCTCCTCCAGCTACACCTGACTCTGTTTTAACACCTGAGCTTTCCACTGCTCGCCTTTATTTAATGCCACACACAAAGACATTCAGGTATGGACTAGGTGGACATACACCAACACCGAAGGGCTTCAGAGACACGACACTATATGAAAGCAGCACAATGCAGAACGACATGCTTAGTGTGTACCACTGTGAGAATTTACAAACACACACAAGTCATACTACGTACTATTCATGATACAAACATATGTGTATATTTTATTATTATAAATCTATGATTTACATATTATATTATAAATAGATGTACTTTTGTATAAACTAGACAGAAACTCATGCTATTAGCTGCTTCTGGGGCAAAAGGGAAAGCAGGACCATAGGTGATGAGTAAAGGGAAATTTCACTTTATTTTATATCTTATTTTGAAGGAAAAAATGACTGGCTTATGATAAATGCAACATCAGTGACTGTACATACATTTTTGTATATTTCTGTATTTTTTTCTGAAAATTCAAAAAGGAGGATCTTCTGTGGCTAACTGAATACAAGGCAATGTAACCATCAATTTTTCAGAACGGGCACATAACAGAAAGGTCAGATGGCCTGCAGAGAACCAGAATAATGAACATGTCACGTGTGCACGTGTGCACAGACACATGCATTTGTACGACAGTGTCTAGAACGTATAGCAAAAATATAAGGAAACATAAAAAGTGAAACTTGGCAGTGTTGCAGCTGTTAAAAGGACCGGTTCTAAGACACTTCACACAAAAAAGATATACAAGTGGCCTTCGAACTTATCAAATGATGTTCAGCTTCAATCATCAGAGGACTGAAAGTGAAAATTCACTGAGATTGTACTTCTCACCTATCATGCTGCTGAAAATGAACAACTTGACCACATTCAACTACTGACACTGCGGCAAAGCACCCCATGCACTGCCGGTGGGCGCGCCAAAGGTGCGGTCACCACGGAGGGGAATTGGGAAAAGCTGTAACACCTCTCTGCCCCAGTCATCTCACTCCCTGACACTCACCCTGAAGATAAACTTCCGAAAGCACAAAGCATAGGCAAAAGATTATTATATTCACTGTGGCATTAGGTAGCACTGTAAAATGTTGGAAACCAATTCCCCTCTGCAGGAAATTGTATAAAGGTATATGCTATGCAGTTGATTAAAATGAGAGAGCAAGCACTAAAGGATTTCAGTAAATGAAAAAAGTAAACTACAAAAAAATGTATGTAATGCTCTGCTTCAGGTATTAAAAAAAACACAGAAGCATAAACCAGAAATTAATCGGAATGGCTACTTACAGGGATGGATGGGAACAAGGTGCAAGGGGTAAAGGATAAGACTGAGATTTCACAGAATATACCTTTTTATATCGTTTGACCCTAAATCTTGTCAATGTTTCACACATTGAAAAACTAAAATTAAATCGACAAAGATAAAAAGAAATGAACACAGCCCTGGCCGGTTTGGCTCAGCAGTAGAGCGTCGGTCCACGGACCAATGAGTTGTGCAGGAGACAACCAGACAAAGTGTCCCTCTCACATCAATGTTTCTCTCTCTCTCCCTCCTTCTCACTCTATCTGAAGATAAACAGAAAGATATCCTTGGGTGAGGATTAAAAAAAACTGAACACATAACAAAAAAACTGAATGCAAAATGAAAGAAATGAATCTCACTTTGTAGTAAGTTCAACTACACAGAAAACGAATTCCTATAACTTTGAACACAGTACTTATTATATACTCTTAATGGGATCTATTCTAAGAACAAAAAGAGCCCTGGCCGGTTTAGCTCAGCGGTTAGAGCGTCGGCCTGCAGACCAGAGAGACCCGGGTTCGGTTCCCGCTAAGGGCATGTACCTTGGTTGCAGTTTGTCCCTGGCCCCAGCTGGGGTCGTGTGGGTGGCAACCAGTCGATGTGTCTCTGTCACACCAATGTTTCTTTCTCTCTTCCCCCCTCTCTCCCTCCCACTCTGTCTGAAGATAAATGCCAAAAATAAAATTTAAAAAAAAAAAAAATTTTTAAGAACAAAAAGACTCCAAAGAAACCATGAACTTCCCTTAATGGGTTTGCAATTAGAAATGATAGTGGTAGAGTCATTCTGAATCTACTGTATCACAGGACTGGGCGAATGAGGTCACATTGATGCCGCTGTGGAGCAGGGTTCTCGCTGCAGAGGAGAAACACCAGCATGGGATGGGAAAAGGTGAGGAAGCTGGGTTGAGCTGGAACTATCAGTATGAACACTTGGTTTTAAATATGTAAATATTTATTTCCCAGCTCCGTCTACTGTGAGGGCCCAGAGGCAAGGACACTCGGGAGCACAAACACCAAAAGATGGAGCAAACAGATACTATGTGTCTCCAGAGGGGAAATAACGGGATGGCTTCAAAAGCCTTTTTTAAAATAGTAAGGGAAATTTGAGTATGGACTATATATGAGATGACATCACTGAGTCAATGTTACAATTTCTCATATGTAATAATGACCTCATAGTTATCCACAATGTCCTGGTTCCTAGGACACACACTCTTAAGAATTTGGAGGTAAAAAGCAATGCCCTGATGTCTACAACTTATTTTCAAAAGGTTCAAGGGGGAAAAGGTGTGTAATACACACAGACGCTCATAAAGAGAAAGAGCAAACAAGGCAAAATGTTAGCAGGTAACGGTAATGTGGGTGCTCACGGTTTTCATCTATGAACTAGTCAGTAGGTCTGAAATTTCTCAAAATAAAAAGTGGAGGGGAGCCCTGGCCGGTTTGGCTCAGCGGTTAGAGCGTCGGCCTGCGGTCCCGAGAGACCCGGGTTCGGTTCCCGCTAAGGGCATGTACCTCGGTTGCAGTTTGTCCCCGGCCCTGGTTGGTCGTGCGGGTGGCAGCCACTCGATGTGTCCCTTTCACATCGATGTTTCTCCCTCTCTTCCTCTCTCCCCCTCCCACTCTACCTGAACAAAAAATAGAAAAATGTCCTCAGGTGAGGATAAAAAAAAATTAAAAAAAATAAAGTAAAAAATAAATAAATAAATAAATAAAAAAGTGGAGGGGAAAAAACACACTAATTCTGTAGTGTGGGGTCTGCTGCTACTAGTTATGAGACTAGCTCACTAACTTAACTCTGTGTCTCAGCTTACTAACCTGTGACATGAGGAGAACAGTGGTACTGATTCATAGGTCATTAGGAAAGTTAAATAAAATGATGTGGATAGAGTGCTTAGCTCAACAGCTTGGAATATGTCAAGTCCTCAATAACGTTTGCTATTGTCATCATCATCGTTATTATTATATAATCTCCATCCAAACTCTTTCAAATCAAATGTCACTTTAGGTTAGAAGTCAATGCTGGGACAAGCCCAGAGGACTGCCACCCATTCCATATTGTAAAACGGAAGTAAAAGCCAATGTTAGAGGCGCTTTAAAAAACTAATCTAGCCCGGCTGGTATGGCTCAGTGGTTGAGCGTCGACCCATGGCACCAAGAGGTCACCGGTTCGATTCCCAGTCAAGGCACATGCCCAAGTTGTGGGCCCAATCCCCAGTAGGGGACATGGAGGAGGCAGCCAATCAATTTTCTCTTTCATCAATGTTTCTATCTCGCTCTCTAAAATCAATCAAGAGGAAAAAAAACAAGAAACTAATCTACACTGAAAAGGGACCTCCCAAATCCCAAAGGGATCCTAAATGAATCCTCAAGAACACATCTTACTAACTTCTTTATTTGAAATAATAATACAATCAAATTCATAAAGGAGTCCAGTTCTAACTCCTGGAATGAGCTCAAGTAGAGAGAATAAGTATTTGAGAAAGTCAATTTCTACCAAAATTCTCCTACACCTACTCAAAGAGACATGTAACAGGATGCTGGCCATGCCATTCAAAAAAAAAATTTTTAACTAAAAACAACCCAATATGTAACAGTAGGGGACTAAATAAACTGTAATGTGTTCACACCAAATATTACAGAGCCATTAAAATTAATAATGAGATCTACAGGTACCAGTATTTTTAAAAATGTTCAAGAAAGTTGCAGATAATACATATGTTATAAAGCCATGGGTGTGAAGTCTAAAAATACACACCAACTAGATCTTGTTCGCACAGAGCACAAACGCAGTACAAGGATAAAAACACAGTCAGGAAGGACATACGCCAGCCCCTCGACGGCGGTTTCCTCTGGGGTAAAGGGGAGGGGAATGGGACTGGGCAGGGGAACGCACAGGACCACAACTTCCTCAGTGATGTTCTATTTCTTAAAAAGACAAATGAGCCCTGGCCGGTTTGGCTGCTCAGCGGTTAGAGCATCGGCCTGCGAACCAGAGAGTCCCGGGTTCGGTTTCCCGGGTTCAGTTTCCGCTAAGGGCACGTACCTCGGTTGCAGTGTGTCCCCGGCCCTGGTTGGGGTGGTGTGGGTGGCAGCCAGTCGATGTGTCTCTCTCATGTCGATATTTCTCTCTCTCTTCCTCCTGCTCTATCTGAAGATAAATGCAAAAATATCCTCAGGTGAGGATAAAAAAAAAAAAAAGACAAATGAAAAGAAACTCTTTAGACGTATTTTTACCACTAAGAGATCAAGGGAAGGGAAGGGAAAATGCAGAGCGCCAGGTTCAGGGTGAGTGGAATCAAGCACTGGTGAATCCTCCAACTCATCCTCGGTGGTCTCTCTGGGGACAAGAAATGCCCACCGTCACCCCCCTTCTGCCAAATTCCCAAGTTTCTCACTCTCAGGAGGCCTCACCCTGAGCCCCACAGCCGGGCTTGAGTGAGATCTGACCTGTGGGCCAGGCCTCACCAGGCACAGGGCAACAGGCAGGCCTTCAAGCTCTGCACAAGGGCAGCGAGTTGTCCAGGTGCGGTTTTCACATTTCCTACCTGGAGAACACGCTCAGGAGTCTCTCTTCTTGGAGTCTCTCTTTTTCTTCCCACTTACCTAACAGAAAGCGTAAAGTCTCCAGGGTTACTTTTACTGGGCCTTGCCAAAAAACTGCCATCAACTCCTCTTGTCAACAGTAGGTTTTCGGCCTCCACGCCAGTGATATTTGGGTGAAACCATCTTGAGAGAGAGAGAGAGAGAGACAGCGATGAACAACAAAGGAGTCTATGAGCACGTGCCCACACCATCACAGCTGAAATGCCTAGGAGCAGAGCAGCTAATGAAAACACAAATCAGCCCGGCTAGTATGGCTCAGTAGCTGACCCATGTACCGGGAGGTCGCTGGTTCGATTCCTGGTCAGGGCATAAGCCCAGGTTTCAGGCTCAATCCCCAGTAGTGAGCATGCAGGAGGCAGCCAATCAATGTTCTCTCTCATTGATGTTTCTCTCTCTCCTCCTCCCTTCTTCCCTCTCTAAAGATCAATAAAAACATTTTTGAAAATTAAAAAAATAATAATAATAATACAAATCAAACCTTCCCTGAACTTTCCCCCTCTTCTTGGTCACTGCCCCCTCAACTTCCCCTTGGTCGGGGCCTGGGATCCTGCTAGCACTGTAGGTGGAGCTGGGGACATGGGTATTAAGCCAGTCACTAGGTGGGCCAAGCCCCAAACGACAGTCCACATGGTCAGGAGACTGAACACACAGAGTGGCATTGAACAGATAAGTAAGTAAATAAATAGATAATTACTTAATAAATAAGTAAACATACTGAAGACAACGGGAGCCGGGTTCCTCGCTGTTGGAAAGGGAGAGAGCCAGAAGAAACCCTATGGTGTCAGATGGGAATTGAAGGTATCGATGCAAACACTAGAATTTGATATACATGTGGAGATATATGTAGAAATGTAGAAATACAGATGTATGTTTCTGTGAATATATGTGTATACACGTACACATACATACATGTTTTCCTAGCTCTCTCTTCTGAAAGGAAGCAATGACACCCCAGTAGCACTCAGCACACCCAGCACCCACAGTTCTCCAGTAAAAAGAATGGGGCTCCTTGAAGAAACAGGTAATGCCAGGGCTGGGGCAGTAAAAGTAAGGTGAGCCTGCGACATCTGACTGTGCCACAGTAAGGAAGAGCTCCAATGCGGACATGTCAAAATGACACAGGGGCAGGCTTGAAGGGCCTCCCACTGGCCAAATTAGAGACCACTGGTACCTGAAAATAGTGATATTAACAGATTCTAACCCTTCAAATAAAATGGGAGACCAAGAGTCCACACAGATATCAGTTTTTAAAAACTAACTAAGGTTCATCAAAAAATTAATCGTAGAGTTACCATATGATCCAGAGATTCTACTCCTGTGCATATACCCACAAGAACTGATAGCAGGGACTCAAATAGTGTCTCACACCCATGTTTATACCGGCATCATTCACAAAAGCTAAAAAGTAGGAGCAACCCAAGTGTCCGACAGATGAACGAATAAACAGAATGTGGTTATGCACACCAACGGAATCTTATTTAGCCTTAAAAAGGAAGGAAATCCTGTCACCAGCCACATGATGAAGCCTGCAGACATTATGCTAAGTGAAATGCACCAGTCATAGAAGGACAAATACCGTATGATTATACTTTATATGAGGTACCCAGAATAGTCAAATTCACTGAGACAGAAAATGGACTGGTGGTGACCAGGGGTTGGGGGATAGGAGAAATGGGGGTTAGTGTTTAACAGGGACAGTTTCAGTTTGGGAAGATGAAGAAGTTCTGGAGATGTATGGTGGTGATGTGAATGTACTTACTGCCACAGAGCTATAGACTTAAAAATGGTTAAAATGCGCCCTGGCCAGTTTGGCTCAGTGATGGAGCGTGAACCAATGAGTCGCAGGTTCGATTCCAGTCAAGGGCATGTACTTCGGTTGCAGTTCGTCCCCGGCCCTGGTCAGGTCATGCAGGAGGCAACCAGTGGATGTGGCTCTATCACATCGATGTTTCTCTCTGCCTTTCTCTTTCTCTCTCTCTCTCTCTGTCTGATGATATATGGAAAAATCCTCAGATGAGAAATAAAAATTTTTTAAAAAGTTAAACTATGCCCTGGCCAGTGTGGTTCAGTTGGTTGAAGCATCCTTCCATGCACCAAAAGGTCACCAGTTTGATTCCTGGTCAGGGCACATGCTCAGGTTGCAGGTTTGGTCCCTGGTCAGGGTGCATATGGGCGGCAACTGATCAATGTTTCTCTCTCACATCATTGTTTCTCTCTCTCTCTCCCTCTCCTTCCTCTCTCTCTAAAAATCACATACAATATATATAGAAAGAATAATAAAAAATTACCATTGGCAACCATAATAATAACAGTTGAGGCATGAATCATCAATGGATGTTAAAACTAATGGTGAACATTTCAGGAGGGACAGAATATTTACTGCAATCTCCACAAAATGCTTACTAATTGATTACATGTTAATGAATAAGTAAAATACACTAATGAACTTCACAGTAGAGAACCTGGTAGTAACTATGGTAATCAACTGGTAAAAGTTAATAGCACCAGTTATGACACTATACACCTCCTGACACCACACACTCAGAACAGTGTCATTTCTGTGATAAATCCTGACAAAAATGCATTATCTAATCTAATTATGAAAAACATCAAATAAATCCTATATGAATGACACTATTCTAACTGGCATGTACTCTTCAAAAATGGTCAAAGAACTATCCAGACTGCAGGCATGGTTCTTTCTGGACTATATCATGGAGCAGGGGGAAGGGAGACAAAGGGAAAAGAAGGGTTTTTTGTTGTTTCTTTTGTCTTTTGCTATAAAGGACGTTACAGAAAAAATTTGAGAGGGGAATAGGAATTAAATGATAGTACTGTTTAACGTAAATCTTTTTTATTTTTTTCTTTACTGATTTTAGAGAGGGAGAGAGAGAGAAAGAAACATCGATGAGAGAGAACATCAACTGGCCCCCTCCTGCATGCCCCCCACTGGGGATTTGGCCCACAACCTGGGCATGTGCCCTGACCCGGAACCAAACCGGCGACCTCTAGTTGCATGGGGTCGACGCTCAACCACTGAGCCACACTGGCCGGGCTAACATAAATTTACCTGATTTTGATGAGAGTGATTATGTGTGTGAGTGCCCTTGTTTCAAGGAAATGCACACAAGAATTTTGGAGTAATAACGTATCAAGTCTACAACTTCCTTTCAAATAGTTCGAATAGCATCTGCTTCAAAATATTCCTAATTTCCAGCAAGATTTCCTTCATGGGCTCCAAAAGTCACCGAGATTTATGGTAACAAGAGTAATTTCTAAAGTCCAATATCCTGGACCTCTCCAGGCTCATTCGATGCTCCCAAGAACAGAAGTCAATATTAAAGGCAGAGTCCTGGTACTGACAATCAAATGAAATTTAAGAGACTGCTCAACAAGTATCAGCCCAATCACAGTGTTTTACAACAAAGAAGGAAGCAGCACAGGGTGAACAGCTGTCATAAATCACACCGTAAGGACATGGCGATCCTACAGCTCTGGGATTAGGGCGGGTCACACCCACTCAGGTGCACATCTGAGCTCCACCACTCACTAGTTCTGTGACCGAGCAAGTTCTTTCCCCCTCAGATTCCTCCTCTGTGAAATGGAAATGATAGTTCTTAGGTTCATTTTAAGAATACGATGAGAATCCAAACACTAGAACATTATTCAGCCATTAAAAGGCATGAAGTACTGATAAATGCTACAATTTGGATGAACCTCAAAATCATGCTCAATAAAAGAAGCCAGACACAAGAGGCCACATTATATGATTCTACTGATGTGAAATGTCTAGAATACGCAAGTTCATAGAGACAGAGAGTAGATTAGTGCTTGCTTGGGTGGGAGTGGGGGTGTTCAATTCCCAGTCAGGGCACATACCCAGGTTGCAGGTTCAATCCCCGGTCCCCAGTCAGAGCATGCAGGAAGCAACAGATCGATGTCTCTCTCTCTGTCTCTCTCTCTCTCATCAATTAAAATAGGTTCTAAAAGAATTCCTCAGGTTTGTCCTCCACCTCACCACTGTGACAGCAGCCTAAAGTGCAATATTTATGGCTCCCATCAAGATCTTTTTATTTAGTTATCCTAACTTCCATTCCTTTGCATCTTTCCCTATCTCAGCCAGCTATTTCAGGCTTCTCTAATTTTTTAGAGTCCAGTGTCCTTTCAGATCTTGTGGGAAACAAAAAACAAACTTTCTAAAATCTTTTTAATTCATTTATTATAATAGCCCAGATAGGTATGAAATTCAAAGAAATAGCCCCAGCTTCTCTTAGGTACCCAGTTGCACTCTTCAGAAGTAACTACAGTTAGCAGTTTCTTAATCTTAAAGAAATTTCTCATGAGCCTGGCTGTTGTGGCTCAGAGGATTGAGTGTCGTCCTATGGACTGAAAGGTCCCAGTTCGATTCCAGGTCAGGGCACAGGCCCAGGTTGCAGGCTTGATCCCTGGAGGGGGGCGTGCAGGAGGTGGCTAATCCATGTTTCTCTGTCTCATCGATGTTTCTATCTCTATCTCTCCCTTTCTCTCTCCCTAGAAAAATCAATAAAAACTTAAAAAAAGAGAAATGTCTCATGCATACACATATACATACTTATCTATCTACATGTGCATGTTTGCAAACATACTACGGCCTCCATGTCCACTTGTGTTACTACAACTTAAAGATCCTTCTGTACCAGTACATTCTTTTTAATAGCTATATAATATTCCATTGTATGAATACACCATCCATAACTTAATCCCTATTCTAGGACATTGATATTATTTCTAGGTTTTTATTACAAATAACACAGCAGAACACATCCTTTACAATAATCTGTACACACTTTTACAAGTATATTAATAAACTAAATTTTTAGAAATAAAACTGCTTTGTGAAGACTTTTGTTTTTTTGTTTTTTTACTTTGACAAATTTGCCAAACTGCACTCAAATGAAGACATCAGTTTCGACTTCCACAAATTAACTGTGAAAGTCCCTGTTTTCTCTCACTTTTACCAATACTACATATATTACCAAACTTTGTCATCTTCGTCTATTCTGCTTCACGGAAAATAGTACCATTCTCATTTGCGTTTCTATGTGAGACTAAGCACTTTCTCATGTTTGCAGCCCACGGTCCCC